GGAGAGAACTTGTATGGAACGCCATCCACGCAAAAAATCAGACTTGCAATTTAATAGCCAAATGACATTCTAACAGCCTACAAGAAATCTAACAGTGGTCAAAATAATCTAATAGCTAACTCATAAAATTTAACAATGTTAAAAAATCTAATAGCCAACTCATAAAATTTAACAGCGTTAAAAAATCTTACAGCCAACTCATAATCTTACAGCCAACTTCTCAAAACAGCCAAGTCAGCATCTAACGCTAGAGGTCACTGCTGTCACGGGTCTATCCGTGGACGGCACGTAAAGTGATGACGTCATCTGGAGCCTGAGAGATGTTGTTTAACATCCACATTACGTGGATGGAAGGTCAAATCAAACTAATATAAAAGAGTATTTTGCCACCGGAATCCGTGGAGTTCCTTCCCGAAAGATACACAAGAAAACGGTGTTCAGTTTCAAACACCCGCACTAAGTAATGCAAGGTTACATCGCGTAGGATAAAACATGGCGGTGCCTAGGACGCATTGTCCTATCATAGGACGCAACTGGATGTAATCTGCATATGCATGAATCAAAACTGTGACCTAATTTCACCCAATGCATAATCTTGGTCACTAGTCTCATGTTTTACTACGATGGTAATACAAGTCCAACGTTCATCGCATTACAATCACCGATGGGATGACAGTGAACGTTCCATTTAAAATGATTCTTTTAGAAACATATATTTATAAGTGTTTTAATATATAGAACAAGATAAACACTTTGTTGAAAAGATTTTTATTATAAAATAAAAATATTGTAAAGGGACCAAAACAATGGGGAAATAATTATATGTATACTGAGGCTTAATTTGCTCTTACATTTTCACGCTAAATTCATTCCAGATTAATATCAAAACCACATAAAATATTCAATTAGGACAAACATATGCGTAATTGGGAGTTTATCTTTATGTTACATGTTCATATACAGAAAAGAGAATATGTTACAAGCACTGGAGTTACAATTATATTTAAATGACGTCATCACTTTACGCGCCGTCCACGGATAGACCCGTGACAGCAGTGACCTCTAGCGTTAGATGCTGACTTGGCTGTTTTGAGAAGTTGGCTGTAAGATTATGAGTTGGCTGTAAGATTTTTTAACGCTGTTAAATTTTATGAGTACTGTTGGCTATTAGATTATTTGGACCACTGTTAGATTTCTTGTAGGCTGTTAGAATATCATTTGGCTATTAAATTGCAAGTCTGATTTTTTGCGTGGATGGCGTTCCATACACTTGGCCCTGTGTAAAGAAACACATATAGATATAGATAGATATAGATATATAGATATAGATAGATATAGATATTACAATATTTAGCAGTAAACTGTGCCTCGTCTTGGTGTCTTGGGCCCCATATAGAGTGGAAGATCCAAGTACTTACTGATCCGCCGACTAAATATGATGGACCACAGTTAAAAAGCGATTCCGCTGATTTCTGATGGTCTCACCGACTCCACACGCACCTTTAAATGGATTAAATCTCAGCTCCAAGGTTTAATTGCAAGGCCCCTGCAACGATGACCTGTGTGGAGGCGAGGAGACCATCAGGAATCAGCGGCATCGCTTTTGAATTGTGGTCAGCCATATTTAGTCGCCGGATCAGTAAATACTTGGATCATCCGTTCTGAAATCGGCCTTGATGTTTTTACCTTGAATTATTGAGTTTCAAGTTTGTGGTTTCCAACATACTCTTGTAGTCACCAGTTTTTCTACTCGGTGCCAGGAGATGTGTTAAATCTGTTAAGTTAACTTCTACCATTATCAGAATAGAAAGAAGCAGTCAAAATATTAGTAACCAGGGCTCCTTAGCTCGAAAGCATCGTGTATTGCGAATAGCGATATCTCATAGAGTCTACAATGTATTATATGGGACAAGTATGGGCGAGTTATGGAATCAAGACGCTTACGCTCGGTCGCAATGCAAATGCTTTCGAGTTACGGCGCCCAGGTATGGGTAATTGCTCTTTCTCTCTCTCTCTTCAGAGATAGAAAACATGTTTTGGTTCCCAATAATGACCCATTTGTTTTAAATATATATGTATGAGACTAAATGTTTCTGTTGCTAAATATAATGATTGGTAGAAAGGTGTTTATTGTCAGGTTCATTGCTGCCCTATAAAGCTGCAGGATTACATAATAAGGTGTATAATAGGCCAGATAGTGCAAGCTGCATCTTATCACATTCAGTGGTTTGTTTACAGTCAAGTAAATATCTGCCTACTTGATTTATGTGTCTGGATTTACTCTGTCATTCTTTGATATATATGAAGATAATGAATATTTTAAACTAAGCACTAATGAACTTCTATAATCTGCACAATGAAAACGGTTTATCTAAATGAAATTGAAAATGTGACAATTTTGGTTCTACTTAATTTTTAATACTGTGTTCTTTTAAGAGGTGGAAACGTTCTGAATAGCATTCTGTGTGTAAAACTAATTTCTGTCATTTTCGTCTTGATCTACATGGCATGTTGCAACCCATTCACTATGGTGGCCTGGTGTTTGCTGACAATTACAATGGTTTGGTAACCTTGTAACTGCCATGGCTTTTGACATGATAGTCAGGATCCCTCTAGCCTGGTGCCTGTGTCACAAAAAGTCTTTAGGTTTTTTCGTCTTTTTAACTTATTAAAATAAGTTTTATGAATATTATTTTAGTGATTTACTTTGTTTTGTGGTCTTTTCACTGTTAGCAAGTCACTTCAGTTCATTGATTTACATTTTCAATCTCAATGGTGACACTAGACCAGGTATGTCAAATAATGTGGGCCAGTCGTATTTATAGTTCTGACAACAATATCATAGTTAACAGTGTGTAGTCTGCTATCTGATTTTGAAATTTTAGCTTAGTCCAAGATTTTTTTAAGACTTTCTGTGAATCACCGAGTCCCCTAGTGTTAGGTCTGGTGATGGTTCTTATTGCTGAGTAGGGTAGTTTGCTTGTTGTGTTCTAATGAAAGTTTTAATTATGCTAATGGGCAGTAGTATGCAGGAGGGTTGTTTTATGTAGAATTGCGTTCTGTGGATTATGTGGTTTTTCTGTGGTAGACGTTTTGGTCAAGGGTTGTTAGCTTGTGACAGGTTGTGCTGTATGTTTTCTGTGATGATGGTTAGTATTATGATAGAGCGTTGTATTATTTTCTATTGTTGTACTAGTACTAGTATTTTGTTGTACTAGGATTGCGTTGTGATAAATGATTGTGTTTTGGTAGGATTTCTGTTGGAGGGTTGCATTATGGCCAAATATTATATTATGTAGAAGGTTGTGCTCTGATTCTTGTTTACTGATTTCTGCTGGGCGGATGATCACTTGATTGCAATTAGGACAGCTGATGTAATTGAAATTGAATAAAATTAGGGGAACCTATAGAGCCTAGTACAAAAAAAGGTCCCTTCAACAAGAACAGTCATTCCATTATATTTTGTTAGTAAAGCTGACTGGCATAACTTTTATGCATTGGGTCTCCTTGTTTGAACAGTAAAGAACAATGACTACTTGTTTTAGATTGCATTCTCTTTCCACTTTTGATATACTTATAATCCTGGCGTGTGGCAGTGAAAAATTGCAATGCTGACTGGTTTGTATTGAGAGAATTTTTCATACCCAGGGGACTTTTAAAGCTTGTTCTTACCAGATTTGAATTAAACTGGAACATATCACATAGGGATCTATGCAGACTTAATGATTCCTGGTTGCGAGGATTTTTGTTTTTAATTAGACGTGATCAGAACAGCTTTGGATTTCAACACTAATGTTTTTGTCTATGACATTATAAGTGAAGAATTAAGAAATCCATTAACTAATTGACTTAGAAGAACACTTGCAATAAGTAATTTAGTAAGCTTGTCAGACAGTTGCCTGCACTTTGCTTGAACTATAAGTTTCTATTGCATGTTTCTAGGGAATAGACTATATTACAACCACAATAGAAAAAGTAAGACATATACTTGTTGTACAATGAGAGTGGATTGGAGTTCTGACAGTCGGGATATTAAAACAGAAAACCAATTTCCTGATTGGATGCCATGGGGCCAGGGTGTAGTTTGTTTCTTTCAGGTCAGATAACCCATTTGATTTGCTGTGGCAAGCTGAATTAGACTTTTTTTTGCCTCCAGTTTTTCTGCTTTAGAAATTAGTAAAGCATGCTTTATGAATGGGTAGTTGTTAAGGAATAAGCTTTGGTGTTGGAGAATGGTAAATTGTTTTTATTTAATTTTATTTATTTATTATAATTATTATTTTTTTGAAAAAAAAAAATGTCTGACATTCTTTGGATAAAGGTACAGTATCTTCCATTAATAGACATATTGGTATTGTTTTCCCTGGTATTGTATTCTCATGCTTGACTCCTATAGGTATTATTTAATTGTGGATGAAAAACACTTTCTTTGACAAAATGGTATTAAATGCGCTCAAAAATGGATTGGCTTGTCTTCAAATCTGCAAGTATTCAATTTCCACAGTCTAAAAGAAGCTCAGGTGTTCTATGAAAGAAGCTACATATTATCTTTAAGTTGTTTTATGGCAAATCAGAATGAAATCTTCAGTCTTCATAATGGATAAGTGAAAAAATGCTGTTTCCAGTTTGGTTGTGGCAGTGTACATATTTCAGTAAACAGTTCTATTATTATTTCTAACCTTGAAAATTTATTCTTTGAAGCCTTACTAATATTATCATTGAGTGAAGTGACCTGTGTCAGTGCAGTTTGAAAATATGTATCACATAGTCTGTAGATAACAAGCCTCACTAACAAGTAACACAATCACAACTAGGGATATAAATATGCTTTAACCTAGTCAACAGATCTAGGAATTAGAACTGATTACAAACATCAACCTATATCACATTTCAGCTGATGCTGCATCACAACTACCAGTTTTAGAGATTAATTGATTTGAACACTGCCTTAAAGTTAAAAGTTTTGCATGAAATTGACTCTTGTTCTTTGACAATTCCAGGAGGAGGAGAACTGTAAGGATGTGGCTTGCCAGGCAGGAGAACCTCTCCTACCAGAGGAAAACGGCTGCAGTAAAGATGCATGGTGCCAGGCTGGGGAGTCCTTCTTATTGCTAGAACCAGGTAGGTGCAGTTAGTTGTCACAGGTATGCAATAGTTGCAGTAAAGGTGCAAGGTGCCAGACTGGGGAGTCCTTATAACTTGAAACAGGTAGGACCAGTTAGGCATTGCACATAAGCAGAAGTTGCAGTAAAGGTGCCAGGCTGGGGAGTCCTTATTACTTGAACCAGGTAGGTGCAGTTAGGTGTCACAGGTATGCAATAGTTGCAGTAAAGGTGCATGGTGCCAGACTGGGGAGTCCTTATTACTTGAAACAGGTAGGTCCAGTAAGGCATTGCACGTAAGCAGTAGTTGCAGTAAAGATGCATGGTGCCATTATGGGGAGTCTTTGCTTGAACCAGGTAGGTGCGGCTACTAGTAGCTGGATATCTCTCTCTCTCTCTCTCTCTCTCTCTCTCACACACACACAGACAGACAGACAGACAGACAGACAGACAGACAGAGCAGTGTAATGTAATATATGTAAATCTTATAAAGCATGGCACTGAAAAATTCCAAAACAGATCAGTTTATACTGATATTTTTTTACTCAGAAACTGTCCTGGTCAGATTTAAATTGAACTGCCACACTGGACAAAATTTAATCTGAATTGTCTGTCGGACAAAATTAATCAAATAGATATCCTTGATAAACAAGACATAAATTGTGTTTTAATCATAAGTTGCATCTGTAGTTCAGGTAGATCACACCTAATCGTGTGTGTATGTACACTGTTACAGCTGTCATGTGTGATATCCCGTATTTAATTTCCACACACTGTCACACCTTATACACAGTTATCATTGACACATCTGCTCTGGTGTGTGCACTGTGACATCCATGATCTAACAGTGATACCTAGGTCATAATATTACTTGCTGTTTTGACATTGCTTTGCTGCATTCAGCTGATTAATTGGTATTTTTGTAATTCATCTTTTCACCTTAGAGTAACATATGCACTGAAGACACAATTATTTGAATTACTCTGTTGCTTTTTCTTTTCTTGATCTTTCTTTTTGTCATCAGCTATGCTGACCAAATTTTTTTTATGTTTTCCAGCATATGTTCAAGACATCAAAGTGCAAGGTTCCCAGAGGCGGACAGAAAAGGAACATGAATTTTGCATGCAGGTAAATATGTTATTCCAATAACCCTGATCCCTTTATACCATTTATCTACTATGCATTATAGATAACAGCTGGGGTTCTTGTGTCATGCACTTTTATAAAAAGAATAAGTAATTGTAATGAACACAGACTTTCTTTTCTGCTATTGAATTCATGATAGTGTATGTGACTGTTTTCATTACATTAAAAAGACAATATTTTAGGAATTACCAGAAACACAGGCAATGGAATTTGAAATGTGAAAACGTACATCTTTCAAATGGAAAATATTGCTGTGGAATGGATTTCATATTATATAATTGTCATGAAAGATGAAGTTGTTGCCTGACTGTCAGTATGAGTGTAGACTGTGACATTCACTGAATTACCAAGGACTTAAACCTACAAAATAGATTAAAAATAAGTATCTACTATATTTCAATAAAGTGTAATTATAAACAAACACGGATGTTCGGGTGAAATGCAGATGAAGTCTAATATGTCTCTGTTTTGAAATTAACACTACAGGGGGTAGTTTGCTGTGGCATCCATTCATGAAGATACACAGATATATAACATAAACTCATTATGTTTTAAGAATTAGGGTTGTTACTTGAGGGTTTGAGTGTGTGCCAGCCTTTCGTAGTCACAGTGAATTAAAGTTTGTTGAGTGGCCAACAGATGGCAACACCATCCCCAGAATGATCTCTGATATTTCTGGATAAAGATGTCAAATATGACAAGTTACAGACTCTGAATTTCTGGTCTGAATTGGTTCCTATGTGAACTTGTTCATACGTGATGGTCAATGTTCTTTTTAGGTCACCTGGTCAAATGGTGAGGTCACTGCCGTTAACAAAACTTACCAGGAGCTATATGAGTTCCACACAAAGGTGAGACATTGAATTATGTACTGTTGATATTTGTAAATATTTAGACTTGGCTACTGTAGCTGGATCTAGTCTGTATTCTGACATTTAATGTTCATTTGAAATCAAAACTATTTTGCTGTTTGATAAATGCACTTAATGAATTTTTCAAAAAAAAAAAATCAGTCATTAACTGCAAGAGAAAGGATTAAGTAGTCATGAAATTTAATTGAAGTCTAATTATTTCCAGTTGCTGAAAGCCTTTCCAGACGATGCTGGAGCCCACAGACATGAGAGGAAAATCCCTTATTTGCCAGGTTTCTCTCTCTCTCTCTCTCTCTCTCTTTCTCTATTAATATCTCTGAAATAATACTCTTTCTCTTATTGGCTCTATATAAATACAATGAAAGTACTAGTAAGCTACTTACACATACAAGTACCCCAGAAATATATGGCCTTAGACACACTCAATATTTGTACATGTTATGTTTCTAGGTATTCGACACCTTCAACGCAATCACAGGGAAGAGCAGTTGAAGACAATATTACCAAACATACAGGAATATGCAGAGTAAGTAAAGTGTGGGGGTTGGTCATGCAAGGTAAACCAGCTTTGAACACTATTTGATGTGTGTGTGTGTGCGTGTGTGTGAGAGAGAGAGAGAGAGAGAGAGAGAGAGAGAGAGAGAGAGAGAGAGAGAGAGAGAGAGAGAGAGAGATGCTGTGCATTAATGGTTAAAACATGATTACAAAGATTATATAAACTTTTTTCTTTCAGACAACTGGTCAAAGTCCCTGAGTATATTCTTCACAGTGATTACCTACAGGTCTTCTTTAAGCCTGAGCCCCAGAACCCAGCCTCTCATGTACTGGTGGAGAATGCATTTAACAGAAATCGTACAGAAAGAACAGGTGCAGATCGCTCACGGCATTCATCAACGGGAAGCACAAATTCACGGCAGGGGTTTGGTAATGATGCAGGTAAAGACGATTGCTGTTTGCCTCTTTCTCATTGCTTAATTCCATTTAAAACTGCTTCATCTGTTTCTATGATTTGCCATTTTAGTCATGCTAGAGATTTTGCAACTTTGAGACCATTGAATAAAAAGATTCAGTTCACTGTTTCATTCACGCTTCCTTTTCACAAGGAATTCACTAGTCATTGGTCTCTTGAGCTATGACTGATTTAAGTTCTTAATTTTTTTTTTTTTTTTTTACATCAATCAGTCTCATTCCCTTTTACTTCCTGGTGAAACAGTTCAGCCGTAGCTATTTTATGCAGTATACTTGTGGTGAAATCTGATGATTTAAAAAAATAGTAACAATTAGAAATAGTAAAAAGAGCAATTGAAAATAACTCTTGAGTCTCTGCTTGGCAGCTTTTTCAAGTCAGTTAGCCCTATTTGGCTTTTATTCATGCAGCAAATTTATGATAAATATTAAAACATAATGTATGTTCACTCTTGCAGAATATAAAGAGGAAGTCCATCCCACTTCGGAGTATGTGCGCTCAGCTACCATTTATAACTCCAAACATGTAGATGTTGGAGGAAGAAGGATAGTTGGTAAGTAAAAGTGTAGATTAGTGCCTTATACATACCTAGAGATGCTATCAGGAATGAGATTTTGCCAGACACCGTACTTTTAAAGAGCAAAAAAAAAAAAAAAAAAAAAATGCCACATTTTCCGACTTTTTCACTAAATGGCAGTCTCATCCCTGTACTATGTGACTGAGACTATATGTGCTCTATTCGCATATAAAGGGTTTTTTTTCCTGTGAAATGCAAGTACTTTCTCTCATTATATGTGTCAAACAATACACTTTCATCAACTCATGATATATGCCTTGAGCACCTCTTGCTGACACTCAAGCTAAAAATTGCATGCATACATGTACAGTGATAGCTTACTAATACATGTATGGAAGTGTGCATACAAAACGATGAAATCGTTATTGCATTTCTCCAGAGCATCACATGGGAGGCATAGCTGGCATGGCCAAGGAGCGTTCAGTAACACCATCCTTAACAACCACCACACCCACCTCGTATCAGAGGTAAGTATGGGTCTTTGCTTTAGCTGAGTATTACAGTGATAGGAATAGCTTCAGTATATGGAATTTATATTATGTTCCTTTTAGTTTTGCCTGCTGGGATCTCTGAATATGTTCTGATTGATTATAATATGGTGTATACTTATCAGTAAGACTCTTCATCTTAAATTGCTTTTCCACTTTTCATTGTATTATTAAGCAAAAAAGTGGTAACTTTCCAAGGATTAGTTCCCTCATATATTCACGGCTGATGATTCCAAGAAATGCTTGTTGTTTCAGCTGATTTAAACTGCCTCATATAATTGGAGTTAGGAAATGCTTCATGATAAATAGCAAAAACCTACTCTGAAAAAGAAATTCACCATCTTCCTGATAAATAAGAAATACTCAACACTTAAAAAATTCACTGGACTTGATCACTGGACTTGATCACTTAACCTATCAAACTTTTTTTTCCTAACAGGGGTGCATACACATCAGGATCTGTGTCACCCTTCTCTCTTAGCTCGGCGCCACTGCCTTCACCACTGTCATTGCCATTGCCATTCATGTCTCCCCCCTCTATGCCAGAGCCAGATATCATTGTGAACCAGCAGCAGCACTATAATAAGCAGCAGCAGCAAAGGATGCTGTCTACGCTTCACCCGGAAGATGCCACATGCGAGGATGAGTCATCATTGGTGACGTGGCTCAAATCAGTGAGGTTGCACAAGTACAAAGATCAGTTGAGCAAGTATTCATTAAGTGATGTAAGTATTTAAAATGGAAGTTTTATGATAATGCTGTCTTTTAATTGAAATCTCGGGTACCAAATGTCTTAATGATTTTAGGTAAGCAGTAGTGAGGTGCACTTGTGGTACAACTTTAAAGAAATGAATTATTACTTCTGCCAAGAAGGCCATGGTTTTGTGTTTGTTTGTTTGTTAGTATACCACCTAACTCAACTTCAAAGCGATAAGACTTAAGTGGTGATCCATTAATTAAAATTTTATAAGTTAATTATGAGAACTTAACTGCCGTGGAGGAGGTCTGCACTCACCTAGTGCTGTTCTAGTTATCATTTTTGTTATTATCACATAGTAGTAGCAGTAGTTGTTGCTGCAAGTTGAACCCACCAGCATGATGCCATGTTCTAAATGCCTTCCTGTTCTTATCCTCAGCTCCCAGAAGTCACTGATGAGCAACTAGAGGAGATGGGTCTCGCTAAAGGTGCCATCAGCAAACTCAGGAAAGAGTTACAGAAGATTATGTAAGCAGGAGGCAGTGAACTTTTTTTCCAAATAATAAATGAAAAAAAATAAATAAATTGGTAAAAATAAGAAAAAAGATGAAAAGAAGTTTTTTCTTTGCATTTAAATTTGAAAAAATCATTTTGAAGTGGCTATATTTAGATATGTGATAATGATAAAATTATTTGAATAGTATATCAGTAGGGAAAGTAGGAAGTGAGGGAGAGATTCTGTTTCCATTTAGTTGATGACTGTTGTTTTAAGAAAAGGTTTTCATTTGTTTCAGGCCAATAGGCCAAGGCCCTAATGGCATGATCATGATAGATACAGGAGGCTCATGGCGGTCAAACTCGCCCTCGTCTCCTTCCTCTCCTGTGTCTCCTTCCTCGTACCACACACCGCCATGTCACAGTCCCCACATGGTGGCGCCACCATCTGGCAAGTCTGGCAATATGGCGCAGGTGCTCCCTGTTGGCAGCTGTTTAAAAAACTTTCCCAATAACAGCAGTGTGGATAGTTCTCCTTCCTGCTCCGAGTACTCTAGTCCTCCTCCTAGCCCGTCTATAGAAGGAGAGGACAGGGAAAGAGGTGAGTGGGGTCAAAAATGGAGTCAACTAAATGATGAATTACAAACAAATTGGGCTAGTAACTTTGAAATGCAACGGTTGTCATGGGATGTTAAAAATCTTCCTGCATAGTTTTCTAGTATGTTATTTTTGGACAGGAACTGTTTCTGATCTCTGTAGAGGTTAGTACATGAAGAATAATCGATCTGTTATAGTTATGTGTTGCACTTTTATCTACAGAACCTTATATAATTACTTTGATAATTCTAAAGGGATAATTAGAATTGCTGGTGTCCCGCTTTGGCACTTTGAATACTGGTATTGCTCTGTGGTAAACAGTTTTCAGTTACTCCACAAAAGAAAATTAAAAAGAAGATGCACCCCTTTTAAAGTTGTTATTTTGATCCTTTGCAGGCAAGGGAAAGGAGAGAGCAGCTCAGAAAAGGCCAGGGTTTGTGCCAATTTCCAAGAGTGGGTTAACAGAGTCACAGATTCCAGAAAATGGTCTGATGGAGTCTCACACACCTGGAAATGGAATGACTGAGTCTCAGATACCACTTGGTTCCAGTGCCATTCAACCACATCTACAAGAAACTGGTTTAATAGACCAACCAGGCCCAGGCACTGGATTGATATCTGACATACCTGGGCATCCTGTGATGGAGTCTAAAATACCATTTGGTGGAGGGGGAGGTGTTCTTGTGGAGTCTCCTATCCCTGCAGGTAGTGGGGGTTTGGTGGACCCACAACAGGTGCTTGTGAATGGAGGAATACGCCCCATGTATCAAATGGAATCTGGACCCCTCATGCACACCCGGGTGCCTATTATGTGCAACATGCGGCCAATCATGAAGCCGACGCCAGTGATACCTGGTAGGATCATATCACCACGGACACCCCTTTCTGCACCTGTCCCGGCACACTTGCCACCAGGAGCCCCCAGGGTGGAGTCTCCTGCCCCACCTCCTCCTGGCATCCATGACTACCCCACGGCAACGTCAGATGTCATCACCGTGGCAGCCAGCACCATGGCAACCATGAACACCAGAGTGACAACCATCAGTGCCACCACAGTGAGCGTGCCCTCACTTCAGGGGGTGTTGCCGCGGACAGCGGTGTTCAACATCGGTGACAACCACGGCAGCAGGGACTCTGGTTCTCCTGTGTTGCATGCAACAGCAGCACACAATTACCAGCCTCCACCGCCACTGGTGTCTGCTGACAGCACCAGTATTGTACAGACTAGTCAACAGCAGCCAAAGATGGCTTCCATACCTCCCAGCAATGGGGAAGGAGGAGTAGGAGGGGGAAGTATTAGTAACAATAACCCTGGGATGGGATTATTACCTACTCATTCTTATCCACCATCAATTGTGAAAACTGTAGCAGCAGCAGCAGCATCGTCGTCGTCGAATAAGTCTCCAGTTTTATTTCCGCCACAACAGTCCGTACGTAGCTCAGTTGCACCTTCTAACAGTTCAGGAGGAGGATGTACACAATGCGGCTGCCATGGCAACTGTGGCAGTAATAACAACAACAATCAACAGCAGCATCCAGCTCAGTATAACTACTTTATGATCCCACCACTGAACAATGCAGTCGTGCACAGCCACCTTCCCCATGGGCCTGCTGCTGGGTTTATACCACAGACACCTAATGGTGTTGTCCCCCCTGGGATCCACCACTTTGGCCAACAACTGCCCAATGGAATGGCTGCCACCCCAGAGGGGTACCAGTATTACATGTCCATGCTACAAGCACAAGCCATGCATGGCAACAATTCTTTCATTAACCACAGTAGTAGTGCTCCATCTCTCGGTGCCATGCAGCAACACCATCAACATCATCCACAACAACAACATCATCGTAGTAATAAGCAAAGTAGTAAGTCTGTGATGTGTTATAATTGTGGACATCAGGGACACAAGGCCCCAGAGTGTAAGGAGGTCACCATGGATTCTATCACAAGATCAGGTAGGCCAGGGGAAAAATACTGGAAGATTTCCACCTTTTATTTTGTGAAATAGTTTCATAAGTTTTTTTTTTTTTTTTTTTTTATATATATCAGATTATCTGCTAAATTTTTTAATAAAAATAATCCCCTTATGAAATAAATTGTAAGGAAGGAGGGCGTAATATTGTGTCTTTTTATTAGATTTTTAAGAAAAAAAAACATAGTCCATGACATTTTTAATGGGAAAAGATTTTTCCCCATTTACATCTGCGTTCCAATTAACAGAAAGAAGTACTATGTCCTCATACTAGGCAACTAATCAATAAAACTAGTGAAGCATTCCATACCCTAATCCTGAATGTTAAACTCATTCAAGTTCTACAAGTATCAAAAAAATATATTATTTATATTATTTATTTGATTTCTTTCAGGTCTTCAGCTGAACTATAAGCCATCAGAATGACAAGGGGCAGAGTAAAAGTAGACAATTTCAAGCAACAGAGGCTCACTTTTCTTCTTCACATCTGCACGTTGTATTTCTATATTTTCAATATAACACAGTTATATGTGGAATGGTATCACCAGGATTTATCCCCTATTTTAGGATATTATTGTACCAGTTATGACATTTAGCTGGAGTCACCAGGATTTCCCCTTTTTTAGGATAAAATTGTGCTAGTTGTGACATTAAGCTGGAGTTGGAGTGGTGTCACCAGCATTTATCCCTTATTCTGGTCTAATAATGTGTTCATGCTTACATCTAGCTGGAGCTGGAGTCAGGGTTTTTATTATACAAGGATAATAATGTGTTAGTTGTGATATTTAGCTGGAATGGAGTGGTGTAGCCAGGATATGTCCTCTGCTGTAGGATAATATTGTGTTAGCTGTGACATTTAGCCTTAGCTCAACAGAAGATCCCATTGTGTTCTGTGTAACATTAAATATTATGGAAGTCACAGGGGGACAGTGAGGCATATCAAATAATTGTTGATTTATGAGTGTTCTGGTTTGTGGACATGGAGACATTTTGCAAGATTCATTTTTCAGATCACAAGAACATGCTCTTTGATATTGAGATTTAGTTGAATCAGCGTCATGAAGCAAACAGTTCTGAAGACAACAGCTTTGATCAAAATTGATCACTTTATGGTTTATACCTGAACACAACAGGGTATCCACCAAACTTGCATTCTGAGGAAAGTCATGATCGTTTCATTAACAAGTATCAACTTAATGGGTATTAAATAATAGTATAATAACTAGAAATGCAGTAGTAAAGTAAGGTTCGGATGAATTCTAGAATATTAGATTGCAGTATTTCAACACATGCTGAAAAGTGGAGCAAAAACATTTCCCCAGCAATGCATCGATTGCACTCAAATGTTCTGTATATGTGTAAGGGCCAATAGCACACATGTTAGGTATTGGATGGGTTGAAATCTTGTGAATATTATGCATTATTAAAGTCACAGCCTTTACTAGTAATAAGATCACACAATCTGCCATTCTTTAGTCATATCAAGTGTACAGTTTAAACACTAGTCAAAAAACATATTATTATTAAATTAAAATGTTCGATCTAAGTTGTATCTCGCCATATGATTTCTGACACATCTTTAGTATATATATATATATATATATATATATATATATATATATATATATATATATATATATATATAGCTTTCATGTAGCATGTACAGCTGAGACCAGTGTAGAATCTGAAATTTTATAAATACATTTTGTACAGTATCCCATAGGCTTTACACAGATTGGAACCTGGTGGCATCGTACATTATCAAATGAATTTTGAGTGTGCTTTAGAACTCTTTGTTTCATATAGAATAGTGTAGGGTGCAGCATGAGATAAGTTTGAAACTGATGCAAAATCCGTATTATCATATAGTGGCAATATAAGTGGAAATGTGTTAGAAACAGAGGTAAGTCAGGACTGATTAAAGGCTGTGTGCTGCACTGTCCAGTACAAGTCAAATATGTACCAACATATCTTGGGGGGACATCTTTTTGTGTAAGGTGCCATAATGGGAGAGGGGTAGGGATGGGGGTTGTGACCTCCTGGTTTGCCACTGTCAAGCCTGGTAAGGATTGTGCATGTTGATTTTTTTAAATGTTAAAACTCAGCTCAAGAATAGAGTAGAACTTAGGCTATGCTTTATTCTTCAACATTTTAAAATGTAGCAGGAGCAGGTTTTATGTGCCAATGAACGGAATTGACTGGTGTATTTATTGAGATTAAGTTATCTTTTGTATTAGATTGGATGATAATCAGACATGTAATGGCAAAATGTAAGTTGACGGTGAACTGTGTAGCAGACTGGGGAACTATTAGTATAATTTTTTAAAAATCTTTTCTTTTTTTGCAAGAAGTGTCTTGCATGTTGTCACTTTAGAAACCAGATGATTATTTACTTATTATTTATTCTGGATAGAGCTTTGTTATGATGCTATTAAATTGGAAAATGTATACAACTGCCTCAATAATCCCTTGCCATTTGTGCATGCAAGTTTGTTTATCTTTTTTTCCGCAAAACCACTACTTATTTTTTTGCGATTATATCTGGCCTGGTAACTTATTGTGTAAAAGCTTAGTCAGTGATGAATGAAAATCCCTGTGATAGATAGCCAGGTAGGAAAGGCTCTGTACCGGACAACTGGAATCTTCTATTTGATAATTGCTTTCTGTGATAGTGTTATCCTAAACTGGGGGATGTGTAACTACCCAGGCACTATACACTTTGCAGTAGAATTTTTAATTCTAAGTTGCCTTGAAAAACAGTACCTCATTAGTTTCTTAAGAAGCAACTAGCTTCAGAAACATACACAGCTGCTTGTTTATGCCCACCTGAAGTTTGCCACTTAAGTTTGCTGATTCCAGCAGGTCATTTTTGTGCTGTCACACCAAAGGCATAAAACGTGTCCCCTCCAGTTCATTGGCGGAACTACCGCATTGTGTAGGTTGTATTGTATTGTATGCTGTCTCACCTACTGCAACTACACAGACCACAAATTCCTAAAATATGCAGACTTGTTTGATAAATGAAATAGAATATATGTAAGCTGAAGATTTTTTCCCTAAAAATGAGATTATATTGTATTGCATTTGGTTGTTGTGAGGTCGGGGTTAAGATGGTGCTTTGTGACAAGAATTGCCATCTTTCGCATCTGTGATTTGCTGCCAATGAGTGCCCTTTGTTGCATCCTAGATGTTTATCACTGCATATTCAGAATATCAAAATTTTGTGCAGGATTTTTTTTTTTTTTTTTTTTTTTGTAAAGTTATGAGTTTCTGTCTTGGATATTCTTTTTAATGCATTTAATATGATGCAGAATACTATAATTTTAATAAAAACAGCTCTACGGTAATTACAGTAAGTTACAACTAAATATTTATCTATATTTCATAGTATAAAGTTTGATTTTGTTTGATATTCCTTTAAATAACATTTGAGGTTTCGAATAGCAATTCGTAATAGAACACACTTATTTAGGAACTGATGAAAAAAATCTAGAAAAGCACAAAATATTTAAAGAGATGTCTTGTTCTTAATTTGTGACAGATTACCATAGTCTGAATTAGGTGCTTATGGGGACCCTTTTAAGGACTGCCCTGTTGTGAATCGGTCAAATACTTGTGCAAATGCCTTAAGTGTTTGTTTTGTTTATTTATTCATTCATTTAGTAGATATATTTATGATTACGATGAATGGAATTTGCTTTTATAGTATTATTTTATTTTTGGACAAATTTCAGTTAAGTGTGTTGATGCTTACGGGTTTTTTCACAAGAAAATGAACAGATTTGAATTTTTTTTAATCCATGACTGTTCAACAGAAGTCTGAAAAACTGGCTGCATCCACTGTTATGGGTTTTTTTAAATCAGTCATTTCAAATTTTTACTGCTGTTTTAGATATTTACTATGTGCAGCAGAAAGTAAAGCTTTAATATGCCATAGAGCATGGTCTGCAATTTGAATCCTGTAGTGTATCAGTTACTGAAGTGGTTTTCAAATGAAGTAAATGATCTCAGTAAAAGTGGGAGATGATCTCAGCATGCTTGATTAGAAACCACATTTATTCTTGTAGAACTAGCAGTCCAGGGTTAGAAGATTACATGTAAAATGATTTCCTCATCATATCTGTTTTGATCGCTATGGTGCACATAAATATGTTGAGGTAGACCCATTTGCTATGTAAAATCAAAGGTTATTTTAGACTTTGGCAGAGAAGAGAAAAGTATTTTCAAAACTTATCATCAAAGATGAAAATGTTTTATTTGTTATGTTCTAACTTCTTACTTGGGTCTGTTCTGCAGGTGACATTGAGAAGTTTTTAAGTTATTTGTAGTAAAAATATAGTTTGCTGTATAAGTCAATCAGATGCTTTGAATTATTATGTACATTATTTTTGTTATTTATTGGTTTCTACAAGAAATATGAAGAGGTCGTATTGAAGATCTGTAACGAAAAACTTAAAATGTTTATGTTGTCATTTACAGATAATTGTCTAGGTTATATGTTTGTATATTTTTATGACTTGCGTATATTATCAAATGTATATTTCTCCATGCCATAAAGAAAACTGAGAACTTTGTTGGCTGCTACAAAGTCTGTTTAAAATTAATTTAGGACACATTTATTTTGTAGAAGTCTGCACAAGGTATCGAATCCTACAATTCTGGGCCTTAAATCTCTTCTTTTTTTTGTCTAAATTTGTTATTTGCAGGGCTTTTTTAGCATTTTACGAGACAAGCACATTAACCCTCACATCAAACATGCCTCAATGATATTTTGTCATGTCTTACACAATAACATTTCAGTCTGTTACACTGAACACAATTGCTCTTCTCTCAGCTTGTAGCTTTTCAGCTCGACTCCACTTTGGAATGGGGGGGGGGATATAGGGTCAGCACTTCATTTTATTTCCACATTTGCATAAAATTATGTGTAACTATATAGGGCAAGTGAAATGTGAGTTAGGCCAGGTTGCACTGTAGATCCCACATATGACGTGTATCCTAGTAATACTAGATGGGTGTACAATTTTTATCCTGCAAGTATTGAAATAAGGAATTTTTCTTAATGTGCAGAAAGTTCATTTGTTGCCATGTATGCTAAGTGATGGTGCATACTTACATGTAGGGTTGACACAATACCCAAAGATGTTGACATCAAAACTGAAGTTTCAAAATTAAATAGCTTAAAGAAGGAAGGTTGGATAGGAGGGACATCAGTTTTATTTTCCTGACCATCTCCGTATGAGTGAAACATTTGGTACATTTTATGGCATCTGCCTGGTGCATATTAACTTTGAATGGAAAGTGATCTTTTTAGCCCACTCTGCATTGTGTGGTATGAACTCATTTATTTTAACCCAGCAGCAAATAACAGGGTATTTATATTATTTTTAAACAAAAACATTTGTACATAATGTTCAAGTTGTATGATAAAGAGTATATGTATGTATACATACTGTGTCAAATATTGTGCTACTTTTTTAAAATAAAGGGTAGTTTTAAACATTGAAAGGATTGAAAAATGTTGAACACTATGTGTATCGCATGTGGAAAATGTTTTATTTCACAAAGGATAGTTAAGATTTTTGCAAACGAAGAGTCTGAATGTTATCATCATATTAAGACTTATCAAGACTTGCTATATCAACTTCTTGTAGCCTTGTACATATCAATTCTCTTCCATAGCAACATACGAAGTGTTTATTTTGTTTTTTGTTGAGTTGATAATAAACTTATGCTATATACATATGTACAGGTCAAGTCAAAGGGATTTTGCATAGGAATTTCAACTTTCATATAACCTTGTAACTAAGTGTAAAACAGAGTATATTTCTATGGAGTCAAGCAGCCATCGTACACAAAAAGTATTTTATGCAACCTATAGTTCATGTATGAGTATGTAAAACAAAATGAAATAAAAATAATAAAAATGTCAAAGTTTAATGCATTTGTCTGTTTTATTTTTATTTGTAAACCCTTACAAAACATGACAGATTCCCCTACACTTTGTATGCTCCTATACAAACAGAACTGACTTGTGAGACCATTTGTATGTTAATAATAAATAAATGCAAGATAAGCACATTGCTTACTTCTCTGACAGCCAATATTTAGAAAATTTATAGTGGCAAGCATATAAATTACACATGAACATGGAATCCTTTGATTCAAATATCAATTGTGAAAGTTGGATGTTAAGTGACATAACCTGGTAAATTCAAGTTTTAACATAGTATGTCATTCTTACAGTGCTCACCTTGCTAACAAGTAAACAGTTAAACAAATGTTAAACAAAATTTCTCCGCGTGTCATTTAAAATTATATTGCATGAAGTTACTCGCACTTCCTTCATATTGTAAAAAAAGAAGACAACCAGGTGCTGTATTTTAATTATTTTTCTTGTTAATTGTAACATTCTGTAAAGGGCTCAAACCCGAGTGTAACAACACTATTTCCTTCTGCCTCGTTTCCTCTTCCCCTCATTGGGGTTTCTCCTATTACTCCAAGGGTCCCCTTTGTTGCCACGGAGACCGAGCTGAGCTGCCCTGCTGTGGATGTCATTCTGTGAGAAAGGGGAGGAGCTTGCTATGAAATCTGGGTCAAACACATTAAGTTTCCCCTTACTGGCTATCTTGCCCACTCTGTTGTGAGGGACAGGCTGGTCCGGACACAGGATGGGGTTCACAGCATGCTTACCACCCTTTGGAGTGGGAAGGGAGTACTGGAATAATAAATATAACAACAGAGTCCAATCAGTCTTAGTACAATTTGAGAAAGAAATATATACTACATAACTACTAGTACAATACCAAAGTATCCATACTTTTGGATCAATCCTAAGACTTTCATCTCTAGTCACTCTAGAATAAAGTTCTGTGAAAACAGAGAACCCAGTGAACTTATTATTTTGTACATACTGTCTTTCACTTAACAAAAAAGAAGACAAGCAACATGACACTGGTTTCATAGGAGTAATAGAAAAATATATAGATAAGAGAGTGCTAAGTAGGTTACCTTCAACCCCCGTGCTGTAACAGGTTTCCTCCTTGAGAGGTGGTAATGCACTGAGCCGTCATCACCCACCGTCATGGCTATCTTCTGGAGGGTCTGGTTGCCACAGTTGGGACAAAACGCCTTCATCATGTTGGTGGTGATTCTGCAATTGAAGTGGACTTACTATTACATTGTAGAAAAAGTAATCAAAACAACAACCCTTATAATGATATTGATTGTTTTTTCCAATTTGTGTACGCCTCAGTGCACTTTACCTGAAGTTCATATTGGCTGCCTTACTGAAACTTAAATGGAAATAAATTCTGCACATAAAAACTTTTGAAGACGTGTCTTTACAAGCAATTTAAATGTAATCATATCATCAATCTGTGTAGAGGCAGACTGTTCCAAACTTTTAGGAATATTTCATTTCAGCAAAAAATGTTCATCATCAAAATAAGGTAATTTGGAAATTTACCATTCCAATTTCGTTTCAATCTCCCCTTTAAATCAATTGTAATACAGTCAAATTAAACGTGTGTTCTTCTAAATCTTCTAAAGATGTAGATTGTATAAAAACATCAGTAAATTGCTTTAAAAGTCTAAGAGTTTTAAACTTACTTGAAGCAAGCAAAGCACCTTAGTACATAACTCTTAGCTTGTTTAATAAGCATTCCATCCACGGAGACCACATTCAGTCCCATCTGAATTAGTACATTCTGAAACAAAGAAAAGACCAGAAATAAAGAAATGACATTTTGTAATGGAAAACACAAAATTCAAACATACAAAATAAGAAAAACTTACAAGAATTTATTTGAACACTTTAAGATGTTTTTAAGAAGATCCAAGAAATACATATGCCCTATTGTAGCTATAGGCAATCTCTAATGACAACCTGAACATTCACTACAAGTTGTTCACAATTAAGCACAGGGTAATTTTATACTTTTAGAGAGAACAAAAATTCTGTCAGTTTCACCTGCATTGCAAAATCTGTGGTAATACATCCAACTTCAACATCTGCTCTCTGTGTATTGTGATCCCCCATCTGCTGGCGAATTTGATGAATATTAGAAGGTGTTATCCAACCTCCATCATCATCATCATCATCATCATCATCTTCATCTTCTGCATCCTCCTCATCCTCATATTCCAAGACATCATCAGTTAATGTATCTCCATCAGCCAATGAAACAACTTGCTTTGAATCATGTGACTTATCATCAGACTTGTCAGCCAATGGAGTCCTTTGGTCTGCATCATGTGACTTTTTATCTGATATCATGTTCTCCAATGAGTGTGAACTGTTCTGTTCTGTCTGAACAAAAAGGTCTGAATTTGTTCTAGAGTTCATTGTGGTTTCTTCTGTTTCCAAAGAATTATTGCTATTGTCTGCTGCCTCTGCATGTTCAGATTCATCCAAGTTCATCTGGGTAACCTGTCTGGCAGCTTCACTGGATGCAGAACTTTCTGATGTTGTCCTGCTTTTTGTTGTCTTAAATATAGAGAATAGTAAATCTGCATATCATATGAAATATTTCATATTTGAACAAAACACTGAGACTTTTTGTAACTTGATAGTTATCATGTATCACACGTATCAAAATTCTGAATCGAGATCTGTGTGATAATGTATAACCATTACTGCACATATAACAGGAATAACCATGAGGCCTTTTTTTATTAATTTTTTTTTTTTTTTGCATTCTTGTCCTTTCACATCAAATTGGCACAGATGACGCCTGCACAAAATCAATTAACAATTGTTAAAAGTAAACTACTTCTGCCCAAGTAGGTTTTTTGTTTGTTTGTTTGTTTGTTTGTTTCTTAGTTTTTCTGTCTGTTAGCAACATTGTGCAAAACATTATAGGGGGACTGTGATGAAATTTCCAAGATATGTCTGAAATGGGCTAACTTAAACATAATGAAGTGATGAAGTTTTAATATCCAGTATGTGTGGTAAATGTTTTAAAGTTGTCCCTAACCACACGGGACGAAGAGCACTGATGATGATGATGATGTGGACATCTTTAAAACACTGGGTCAGAGGACTTGCCCTAACATTTCCTGAATACAGACCTTTCCTGACCCAAGGTAAAAACCCGCTATGGCAGTTGGCTTCTCCAGATGACCCTTTGTAGCTGTCCATTGCTCCTGAAATGACCAAGACTTAAAAGACTGACCAGGATAAAACATGACACAGCTGATCGATGAAATTCTTTGCAGGGCATACTTGACAGTTTGGGTTTGTGAAATGAAGTATCAGAACAGAGAAGCTCTAGCACTGGCAACCTGGCAAGTGCTTTGTTCAGTCTGTAATATTCATATTGGCCACACACAAAATGTCAAAAAGTTTTCATGGCAGCATAGTATAATTTTGCAAGTTAGAACACTTGTGGTCACTGTTTCTGCTTTAAGGCAATAGATTCTTAGAGTCCTACCTTCTTGGGAGGCTGAAGTCTGATATGATCCGTCCCAACTTTTTCTTTTTCCAGTTGATAAGCAAGTGCCAAGACTTGCAGATCTACAGCCGAGAGACTGGCATAGTCCCCTGTTCTTTTTGAAAACTCTGTCACTGAAAACAAATGAATAGAGTTATAATTTATACAATACAATATATTCTTCAACTTGAGAGAAAACCCATCTGACAATACTTTTTTTTTCCAAAGCAAGTTTTAACAAAAAAAAAAAAAAAAAAAAAAAAACGAGCTTTTTCAGGGAAAATATTTGAAACTGAAAAACTTTGACCCATTTATCCTGCAACATTCATTATAGTTACATTTCAAAATTTATAATCATAGACCCCATTCCCATAGATTTTAGATCAATCTATCCCTGTGGGGAGTCTCACTAGATTTCTGTCAGCTTAGCCGGCTTAAGCGTCTATCCCGCCTACTAAAAGCTGTAAGGGGGTAATTAACTATGGTGCGCACTTGGCTGACTGCAATTTAGCGTGAACCCCCAGGGAGTTAGGTTGATCTAAATCTAAATCTGGATCAATCTAAATATCTGGGAATGCACCCATAGTTAGCCATAGATACTTAAGTAAATCAATATATACATATTAAATATGCTGAAGTCTGTAAACCTAAGTAAAAAAAATTACCAAATTTAATAGCCTCAGTTGATGGACTCCTAAACTTGAGATCATAGGGTAGAACCTGCAGCCTCTGCTTGGTTGCCTTGTCCCTTATCTCATTTACCACCTCCTCAATAGTGTACACAGTCTCCCCAATGTCCTGGAAAACAAAAGAAAAATAATTCTGAATCTCATATCTGGTTTCATAAACTTACAGTGTTGTAACTCACTATGATGTAGTGGTTAAGTTCTTAACATGGAAAAGCTATATTTTGTCAAAATGTGCTTAATGGAGCCCATCAGCTTTTTTTGGGGGGGAATAGCTCAAAACTAACACCCCATTTCCATAGACTTTTAGATCGATCTATCCCTGTGGGGAGTCCCACTAAATTACTGTCAGCTTGGCCGGCTTAAGCGTCTGTCCCGCCTACTAAAAGCTGTAAGGGGGTAATTAACTATGGTGCCGCTCGGCTGACTGCAACTTAGTGTGAACCCTCAGGGAGTTAGGTTGATCTAAATCTTAATCTCTAGATCAATCTAAATCTCTGGGAAAGCAGACTTGGTATCTCATTGAATATAGCTTAACGTTTATCAGTTAACTTAAGTCTAAATACCAGTCTTCTACCATGAATGGAGAATCTCATTAACTACCCATAACATATAAAACTACATCTCTCACTCAATTCAAGGGTTTCATCTTAAGACTGAACAAGGAGTGTGTGTGTGTGTGTTTGTGTGTGTCGGGGTGTGTGGGCGGGTGTGTGGGAGGGAGGGGGTGTCCTGATCACCCAAAGCGAACACACCACTAAACTAACTTTTATCTGCTGTACTGAAAGGTGCCCCTAGCATCATAATTTATGACTATATTAAGTATCTGCCCTGGTACATGAATGGGCAGAGTACTAGTGACAATGGCACGGCGCCATGCCACTTACAGCACAGACACAAGTCAAATAAAAATTAAAAATGTGATACACATGTGGGCAGTGCACTGCTTGGTATTTAGTAAATTTCAGTATGTCGACCGAAACAATGAACATGATAAAAGATTAACACATGTAGAACAGCACATGACTGATTTCCGAACAAGCACTTATCACTTTTTACTCACTTTAATGGGCGCATTTCTGATAAATGCACCAGAATCCACGACAAGGTGTTTCACCACGCTTCCCATTTTACCGTTTCCGGAAGAATATAAAAATAGGATTGAATCTGTAGAACACCATATATTGTAAAAATAAAATTTTGAAAAGGCCTTCAGCGTTTTTAATTAAGTAATTATATGCACTGAGTACTTTAAGTGAAATAATTTTACAAAAAATGTCGTTTGGTTCCACCCCTAAAAGTAATCCTGACTTTTTAACTTACGTAGTTGTTCACGTGACATAATATGGTGGTCGTCGACAACAGAGCAATTCGATTAGAAAAACGACATATAACACAATTACAAGGATATTTACAGTGAAAACTTAATTGGTAGGTGATCACTAGATATTTGTTGAAGCCTCACGGGTAAAATTTATTGCAGCTAATCTAGATTTAAAGGCGTATCATTATGTCAAGTTTCAATATGGCGCTGTTTGTATTCGAATAAGTTCCGCAAGGAAATAAGCACCTCAGTGTTTTATTTAATCAGACTTGTAGCACATAGTTGAGGTGATACAAATCAAGTCAGCTTTAACAAAACATGGTTAAGATGCTGAAGATTAAGTTGGATATCTACGTAGTAATGTTGGCTCGAAACGAAAAATACTGCTAGAACCAGCAATCGAAATTTTAGACAAAACTTGACAGATGACATTGACAGAATAAAACAAACCGTGTTAGTGAGTGACTTTGTACTTATGTAAGTCCAACACATCTTAATTCAATTAGCACAAAACAAAAAACTGCTGAAGATATTTCAGACTTTTTTATTTTGATATTCACTCATTGGTGCCGTACAGGAAGACAAACGGATTGCAAAACGAAGTACATAGCTCTCTACTCTAGACTCTTCTGAAGTATCTCACATATACGTATATACTGAGCTTGTTCATGTTAGTAGGTGACAACGGCAGGACACAAGTACTACTCAAGCTACTAGCAACACCCCTTTGATATACAGTATATAAGTATGTCCGTGTTATAAAAACGTAGCTTTTCCTTTTCAATACACTCATTTTACAACCACACAAATTTCAGATAAAAAATAATAAGGACATATGATAACCTTACCAAGAAAGACATTATAGGATGTGTCTGTGTTAAAAAGTAACTTTTATTAGGCCAGGTCAGAGATTTGTGGTGATGATGCTCTGTGAGGTTGTTAAAATAATTAAAAGAATTCTTTGCTAGCACCTGAGAACAATACTATGGGACTTAAAAGATACCCTGCTTGATGTTGAAGATGTAAATAGAAAAGATTATTTTGTAGTTGCAGTGTGGGTTCATTCTACAAGCCTTAAAATGATCATCAGTAAAGAGAATGCCAATGGTTGTTTCATGTTCTCCATATCAGACTTATATATAATAGAAAATGAGCTTTCACCTCTTTTAACTTTTTGGAAATGAATTGATAGAGATAGAAGTGTTAAAAAGTTCTATTGGAAATATTTTTTGGATGTGTAAAATAAATATTGTGGAAAAGCCCTCTGAATATATATATATATATATATATATATATATATATATATATATATATATATATATATATATATATATATATTTTAAATCAGAGAGGATAAAAATTTTAATGTTATTTGTGTGTACTGTACATGTTCTACTCTCATACTTATCTATGATTATTATTATATAAATTTGCACTTACAAATTGATTAGTACATATACTGTAAAAAATAAAAGTTAGTTCTTGGTAAGTAACTAAAACATATAAAATATTAAAAAAAAAAAAATTAAGAGGAATTCAGTTTGAGTGGATGAAATATTTAATTGTAACTTCTTTAAAAAAATTAAAGCAACACTGTTCATAAGAACAGTGTACAAATAGTCAAGTGGCCAAATCCTTTTCTACTGAAAAAGTAATAATAATTTAAGAGAACTACCACTGGCTCAGGCAGCTCAATCAGTGGTCCCCTCAGTTAGTCTATTGAATTTGCCCCTTATGGAATTAAAATGTTTGTGTTGTGAATACCATAATAACTTTAAGTGATGAAAATGCCACTTTTGGATTCTTTGGTTAATTGGTGATAAAAGAAAGAAATTCCATACTAGTAATGGAATGACTTTTAATTTAAGATGCAGGTGTTGCAAAATCGATATGTGGTCTATGTTATGTAGGGATTGTCATGTGATCTTCTTATACTGGTTTTAAAAGCATATATATTGATTTAGTACGTAAGTCACCATTTAAATAAACAAATTCTCAGAAAAGGAAACATCAGGTGTGAGGTGAAACCAAATGATATCTGTGTTATATTTCTGTATCCAGAAAATTACAAGTATGTGGTTTGATATGTACATTGTTGTCATTTTTATCTTCAACTGGAAGGTAGTGTTCCAATGTAAATTGTTCCATGGGGAACCGCATTACAGGTAAAGAATGCAGCTTAGAAATTCATAGACAACTGTTTAGTTAGCCCATTTATATTATAACAGGTAGACATGAATTTAGTCATTTTAGATGACTTATCAGATTGGATTGAAAAAACAAAATTAATCTCTTCCCCCAAAAATATAACGAGGAACAGGTAAGCTGTCTTACATTATATGATGTTATGATGCAAATATAACCAGTCACTGCTAAGGGTCTTTTGATGTCATCTGACGTTCTGTGATCAATTTAATATATAACTTAAGCAGGGGCGGATCCAAAGATATTTTCTGACAGTCTTCCAAATTATCTTTGTTAATCCATCCTCCATTTTTGACCGTCTTCCGACAGAAAATATTAGATACCTGTCAACGTAAACATGAAAATCTGACCATCTTCCGGAACTCCCAGAAGACGCCCTAAATCCGCCCCTGATAAGTGCGTAGATAGTGACTTACCGTCATAATCTTAAGTGAGCGGCTGCGGTGAGAAGGGTTGCAGTATAGGACTAGTTTGAAATTATTTTGTAAGGAAACAATTCCTTTAAACCCCAAGCTCCTAATTTTAAGGAGCAACCCAAGACATACGTGTAGAGCCAAGTGCAAGATATAATTTGAACCTTTCAAAATTTGCATGTAGTAGTAAGTTCTGTTTTTATTGCAAGTTTTCTCTTTTATACCAGTGTGTAGATATATTTAAAGGCATAGAAAAGAATAATTGGCAGTTAACAAGGAAACTTTAAAAGCACACTTTTGATATCTTTGCCTTATGTCAACATGACCTCATTTCATTCATTCAAAACACTGTATCCAGTTGCAGGTCTCTGTCTAATTTTGTGTATGTCTATCCAGAGTCTACTGAAGACTTGCCTCTTTTAGAAATAAGAAAGCCATCACCCACGCTCAGAAACTCTAGGTGTGAATTTTTGTCTGGTTAGCTTGATTTAACTTCACCTGTTGGTTGTTTGTCTGTGTAGTTTCTATCTTGGTAGTAATGGTACTCTTTCATAAGAGTGTCAGACTCAGGTCAGGTGTAATGGAACTTGTGGATACATATACTAGTATTTTACTCAGTATACCTCAGAGAATGGAACAGGAGATGTAGACCTGATGATTGTTTTTAAAATCCTGCGTCACAAACAGCTTAGCAGGTCTATAAGTTTGTGGTATATTTACTAGTAATCTTTTCTTCTGTTTTATTCTGTATTAAGCATGCATATAACCTGATTTCAGGAGTAGTTCGCATGTTCATGCCTCAGTGAAATAAATGTATATATATATATATATATATATATATATATATATATATATATATATATATATATATATATATATATATCTTTCTTATACCTAAGAAGTCATTGTCTGCTTTTATATGCATGCAATACTGGCAATCGTTGTCATCTGTCTCCATCAGTGTCTATGTTGATGGAGTGGTAGACAGAGTCGTTCACATCCTTGGTAGCGCAATAACTGGGAGGCAATCTTTGCCGTTTTGCTTGCAACTCACTTTGTTCACTCATTGACCTAAAATGCAGGTCATGTTTAAAACTGGGCATTATCGAACTATTTCGTGCAATTGAATAATAATTGAAACAAAATTTTCTGATGATTCAGGGTTTTGTGGACAGAGTAACTTTCTGATTATGAAATTTGTGGGTCTGACATACAGGTCGAGTTCCATTCTGGTTTTTGTAATTGTGAATAATAATTCTGTGATTTTACATTATCCCACTAAAGTTTTTTTTTTAATTATAAGGCATGGTGGTTTAAGCAAGGTTGGATTAACACACACACACACACACACACACACACTCTGTCTATAGTGGATAAAAGTCAATTAACATTGGTCTTAAAAGCTATAGAAAAAAATGGAATTGTGTAAGGAAAAATATCTGTACTCTTATATTTTTAATGTGCAGCTAAGGCAAGCCCTCTTGGCAGGTGGAGTGTATGTCTACAAAAAGACTGTTGTATACAATAAGCAAGGTCTATTGATTCTTTGTTTTTGTTTATGCTGTAACTGCAGGTTACTGCAAATCATCAGGTAAAACTGTGTAAAGACTGGCTCTTCAGTTATGAATGCTAAATGGCAAAGATATTCAAGTCCTCTTGTTTCTACATTTATAAATGTATTACTCGTGCTAGAACAGGTTTTAAAATTTAGTTGGATTTTTTTTAATAGAGAGGTTTAGGATTTTGCTTCTTTACTTGTTGCCCATATCCCTACTATACCTGTGCCAGAATCTACCATTGAAAATAAAATTTCAGATAATGATAATGTGTTAAGCTTGAATGTTAAAAGACTTAAAATTCCTCTACATATTGCAAGTCATACAAAGTAAAGCATTTCCAAGAAAATGACTGACAAAGATGGCCTCCCAGTTTATGTATAAATTATATGATAAGCAGTTTAATTTCCATAAAATTCCAACTCCAAGGTTTAAGGTGTATGTCTATTGAAATGTCATTAGTCTTTTATTGCCCTTGAAGGTGAAATGATTTCTATGCCAATTTTTTCCCATTTAAACAGTTCAAATTGAGAACATCTGTTCTCTTTCACCTTCTGCTACCAATTTTACCTAGGTGATAAGAAGGAAGAGTTCATCTTGATTCCTGCATGTTGGGATATTTGTTTTGGATACAAGACTGATATCAAGACCAACTTGTACATTGCAAAAGATTTAGTGTGTTTTAAAGGGGTGTGTGGGTATAACACTAATGAGTTTACTAAGGTATCCCTAAATTGTGCAATACAGCGCAATACATCGCAACACAGTGCAATACACTTGAAAAAACAAGTCCAGTCATGAGTAAAAATTGCCATTCCAAACAAAATAGGGTGATATATAAGCGAAATATATTACTAAATAATTAATAGCATTGATACAACTTAACAAATTGGCACAATTTGTTTTTATCGTCAGGTCAGCTGTCATGTTGACTAGTGGCTCTTTTTGGTGGGTAATATTGTCAAAAAGAGTCACAAGGCAACATGGCTGCCGACCTGACGATATAGAAGTCGTGCCGATGTGTCAAGTTATATCAACAATATTTATAATCTAATCAAATATTTTGCTTTTAAATCACCTTATTTTGTTGGAAGTGACCGTTTTCTTTGTTAAATTGCAACTGCATTTGTTTTCAAGTGTATTGTTCTGTATTGCAAGGTATTACACAATTAAGGGACACCAAGTTTACTAGTATAAAAGGTACTAGTATAAAAGTAAAATAATAATAAGAATGGTTTTACTAGTAATTAATTTATAGGCCTTTCAAACAAAATATAATGTTATTGATTGTTTGGTACCTAATTTGATGGCAGATATTGTGCCTGTGGTAATGTTGTATGGTATACATGCTTTATGTAGAGTTCATGAACAGTTCAGGAATTAATGCTTTCATTATACTGCAGTATTTTGTCTGTCATTGTGGGTCTGTCATTTAACCATCGCTGTAGTTTAGCGCCAGCATGAATCATATTGAGTTTGATTTGATATGAGGTCTTCTATAAGGAATTATGTCTACCTTGCTCTCAGTGGCTCTGTTTTAATGGTTTAAAATAGGTTCAGTCTGCCTGAGAGGAGGCTTAAAATTTAAGTAATTTAATTTAATTCAATTTAATTTTACTTTCAATTTAATTTATAGTCCAAAAAATGAGAAAAGTGTCATTTTAAACACATACAGTGAAATACAGTATTAACATCTTATACCCCCTTTACACTGGACGGCGTCCTTTCTGCGTCCTTTCTGCGACCATGAAATTGGCATCGCTGTGGTCGTAATAAGGAGGCACGAGCATTTATTTGGTATCAGAATGAATGCTCAATGATCGGTCAGTTGTCTGCACGTAAAGTATTTTTATTTTTTTTTACTCTCAAACGGGGCCGTACTGCTGGACGCAGAAAGGACGCCGTCTAGTGTAAAGGGGGCTTTAATGTTGACAGGTAAAAAAAAAAGGCCCTAAATGTACTTGAGATTTTCTTTTCTCATCATTTGTACATCACTTGTCTTTTACATTTACACAATTGCTTACACAATTGGTCTTCTAGATACTTCTAGGTCTCTTCAGAGTAATAAGGAATACTAGATATGTTACCGATTAAGATATTACATCACTGGGTTGAGTGCGCCAGTAGCTGCCCTCCTATTCACAATCACTATTATGTTACTTTTCCTTTAATGAAACTCACCAAAAGTTGAAAAAAAAAAGAAGCCATTTACTGATTGTCTAAACTCTGCCTGAAGTAATAAAATATCAAATGCTGAAACTTTCAATTCAATTGAGTTTTCCAGTCAGTAGTAACACATTTTCATTGGAAGTTCACAGGAAAAAAATGAACTGTTCCAAGCTCCCCTTTTTTGGAACGTTTTCAACTCTTCCTCTAGGTAGAGTTCACTTTGTCATCTAAGGGGGTTGCGGTAGAGGCAAATTTTTTATTCGAAAAGTACTTGTACTTTTGCTGGAGTCAGCAGCACTTTTTCTTTGCTGTTTATAGTAAATGAAAGTCAACAAAGTGCAGACTGCACTTATAGGCAAAGTACAGGCAGGTCATTGCCATAGAACAAGATAACATGTGTACTTCTGTTTGTTGGGCCTCCAGGCTTGTGTTTTTAATGCACAACTGGGCCTGAGATAGATTTAGTTCCAAAGCAATACCTTGGGCATCATAAAATCTGATTCATTTGTCTGAGCTGGACTAGTTGATGGTATTCTTGATGTCTTATCTTAACTGTGATAGTGTGTTGTGGTTCTGTTTAAAGGTTAAGTGAAGCAGCAGTGGAAGCTTTGTCAGCTTAGATTGGAAATGATGATGTGCTCTTACTGTTAAAGTGGAAAGAGGGAGGGACTGGTTGCTCAGGCCTTAGGTAGAGGCTTTGTCAACATTTAGAAGCTCATTTCGTAAAAATGACTTGAAGGACACTGAAATATTGAGAAAAGTACCTCTTATCCTTGCTGCCACTTGATTGAAAAAAATAGTGCCAGATTGTTTTCTGAATGATTGAAACAATTGATGAATTTTTTTATTGGAATAGTCTTTATAACCATGAAAAGCACATTGCGTGTTGGTAAATCAACTTTAAGGTCAATTGATAACTGCAATGATTACAATGTATATTGTTTAACTTTTGGAATGTGTCAGAGAAATGTTGGCTATAAAGATATGTCGTGGTCTGGTGATTAACCAACTTGTTTCTGCAGTTGAACTCATACTGATAAATCAGTGTATATAGGTCAGGAAAAAAAATAACTTTCTTCTTGTGTGATTTTAGATCACCTTTTATATCAAACTGAAACAAGTTAAATGAAACCTAATGTGAACAAGCTTGAAAAAAATGCTGATCTCATTTTAAGTTGTGTTAGTTTTTTATGCCAGCCAGGCAGATCCTTTAAGGGTATCTGATAAAATGGGTTATAAATTAATGAACACCCAAAAGAGTTTCTCATGATCAGTTTGCGCTGTAGTTCTTTCTTTCAAATATGAATAAGAGATTAAAAAAAAAAAAAAAAAAAAAAAAGCAGCAAACTGGATAGTTTTTAAAGTAGGATTTGAAATCACATTTGATTTCAGATATTATTTATTACTGCAAATAAATTTATTTAGGTATTAGTCTAAGTAATGTGTTCCTGTTATCTATGTCTTCATTATTACAACTTCATTTCAGTGTTGCCTTAAAGATCACCCATGCAGCCATGTAAGGTGCAGTAACAACAGTGTGATACCTACCCGTACCTATGTAGAGAGAAGGCAAGAAAAAACCCTAATATAACACACCAAACAAGGCAACACAACATAAGCATGGGTGACAGTGGGACAAGCAATCCCGCCTTGTCCCAGCTCTCAGTAACCAGTAAGTATTAAGTCACAAAGTGGGATAAGCTATCCTTACCTGCCTTATACCAGCTCTCAGTATCAAATGAGTATTATGTTGGCCCCATAACGTCTTAAGCTATTCTCTTATGTCCCATATGTCGGTATGAAATAATTATTCTGATGCCCCCAAAGTGGGACGAGCTATCCCACCTTGTCCTATCCTCATTATCAAAAAATGTGCTTTTCTGAAAACAGACATGCTGAAAACTATTCAGAAGGGTTGGACATTTGGACCGGCAGCAATGAAAAATTTGCGGGACCGAATAGATTTTTGTCGGACCAAAAATCACCCTATTCATTTGAAACAGATATTACCAGTATAATTAGGGTAGCTTACTTTGTTTGTGAATGTGATAGGTTTGAAATGGAAGGGAAAAAACGCTTTGGGTCTTATATAATTTTATTAGTAAAGTATGTCGAATGATGACTGTAAATTCAAAATTGCAGCTCTTAAAACTCGTCGGTCCTTTGGACTGACCAAGTCCAATTTTTTACCGGTCCAGACAAATTTTGCCAGTCATGACCGATCGGACCGACAGTTTCAGCATGTCTGGAAAATTGAACTAGCCAACCTATACTCAGAATTGGTGAGTTAAAATGCCTTTTTCAGCCTACAAATGTTTTCATCCAGATCATATTTTCTGTGCATAAAATACTCTTATTTTTCCAAGAAAGCACATTTCTATTATTCTGCACTTGGTATACCTGCACTTTTGTAAGGTTACCAGCCTAAAGCACAACTGGGGATTCTCTTTTATAATGTTTTCCAAGAATCAGTTTTTTAGCATTAGACCATTGTTCATTGCAGTCAGTCATTGTTCATTGCAGAAGTTTTGAAGACCTTAAATGTTTAAAGATGCATACAAAGTCAATTTTTTGTCACAAAAACCAACCAAATGCCAGCATATAGTTTCAAGTAGTATAACTAAGAGAATTACCAAAAGGCATTGTATAATTTTACCCGAAAATGATGTTTGAACAGATTTTTCTGCTGGCATTCTAAGCTGTATGTCAATGGGGCAGGAAAGTAGGTCACGGAAGTAGGTTAAATTTACAACCATAAATTTAAAGAAAGGAGCAGTCTAAAGGTCTTTTATGGCTGATCGAGTGATCTGTTCAATTTATCCCTTGGCATGTCGAATTTATTTGAGTCATATAAGAATCTAGTAGAAGTGGTTTACATGTGTTACTGGGAATCCACTATCCACCGATGCTCGGTTCGTATGTACCTTTAATCTTCCTTGAAATGATTAAATGCTGAAGTGCCATAATGTTACCAGTTTTTGAATGATGAGTGAAAAGCTGATATTCATTGTTATTGAATATTATTCCTGATAAGATGGTGACCCATTTAAATTTGAGAGACATACTTCTTTTATTAGACAAGTAGATTTGAATTACCAGAAATATATTTTGTGTGTCTAGACTTTAATTTGTTGTTGCAGTTGAATTTAGAAGTTACATGATTGCTGTAACAAATTTTTCATAGTATGTTTGCCATGTCACGTTCATAGTGCAGATAAAGAAACATGAATAAATATGTTTTTCAGTTGCCAAGGCCGACCTTCAGAGTGCAGGCGGACTGTTCTCTTCTAAACCTGACCCTTACCTAGAATTAAGTATAGATGGCACTCCACCAAGAAAGACCGAAGTGTTAAAGAAAACCTCCAATCCAACTTGGGATGAGCATTTTACTGTGTAAGTACAAGGTTATCAGTGTATTATCTTGCCTCGCTTAGAATTTAATGGAGCAGTTGAAGTGTATTGAGGTCATGGTTGCAATCAGAATAAGATAAACTGGAGATAGACTGGCTGATGCCATGATGTCACTAGATGTCCCATTTACTTGGGGAAAGGGGTGTACACCTTGACATGGAGAAAAGCTTATATTATCATGGACAAATACTTGATGAAATGTGCTTATACAAATGTTCTTTGTTTTCTTTTCTTTTTTTTCTCTCACAAATGTTCCTTTATCTCTCGTGGGGCTTTATATTACCTTTTTTTTAGGTAGAAGATAATTTTCTGTTTCAGTGTTGTCTTTTTAACCAAAGTAGCTATCAATACACTTCTAAAAAGATTATGTAGTTGCAGAAAAAGACTGCAGAATGGCATTTCAAAAATGCCATCAAAGATCTTGAGGCTTTTGTACAGTTAGTTCCTGCATAGAGGAGTCCTAACTTTGTGTATAAAATAACTTATAAAAATCTGGGATACCATGTTGTGAAGTAGATAATATAACTGGTACACATGATAAAAATACAAGGAAAAACAAAATTTTGAAGATATGATGTTCAAAAGATCTGTATCAGTTGAGCCCGTTTCATAAGTTATTCTAGATGTGAACATGACATTCAAATTTATATTTCCAATAGATGTAATGATGAAAATTAACAGCACAAATTGATGAAAATAATCAGAATATATCAGAAATGTTGGCAGTTTTATTCCAAAACATTTACATGCATCTCTTTGTAGTCAGCAATTCAAGTTATATTCAAAAGCCATAATAGTCCATAGTATAAAAATGGTTACGTTCACTGTTTATTTCACTAAGGTATGGTCTGTTTATGGAAACTTTCCATTGCACATTAAAATTCCATTAACCTCAAGATTGCTTCAGCACATTCTGCTTGTAATCTGGGAATATTTTCACATCAGGGTACTAAAAATATTCCCAGGTGATATAACCACTGGCTACATGGTTAAAAGAAATATGCACTAGACCAAGATAGTATTGATTGCATTCAAGGCAGTGGATGCACCACAAGTGTCCAAGGGATGAATGTTTGACACCAATTATGAGGAATGGGGAAATGGTTAATATGCAGGGATTTAAGAAAAAATCAGTTTTAATCAGTCATTTGAAACCATGTACTGATTCAAAATTTAAAAAACAGAAGGATGAAAATGATTGATATCAAATATCTGCTTCCTGAAGATTAAAAAAAAGTAATTTCATAATTTTATTTTGCTTTATTGCCAATATCCAGCCAAGCTCCTAATGCATCTCAAATCTAGTGTAGATGCACTCATTGATGTTTCTGAGAGTTTCACTCCTTGGGGACAATGTATACATCATTGATGTGATGTGTATGAATCTAGAGTGAAATATATGAAACAAGCCACTCTCAGATCAACATTTCCCAATCAATAATGCAGCGTAGAAAGATGAAACACTAAAAACAGGGGGCCCAGTTCACATCGGGACCTAGTTCACATTGGGGCTTACTTAACTCAAATTGACTTACTGACATCACAAGACAACCAGATGGCTAACAATAACATTTCAGATTCTTATTCTCTCAATGGGGATCCTATGTTGTCTGTTTGTATGATGTAAATAAGCCTGTCACTATTTTGGTCCTGATGTGTAGACATCTTTCTGAAAATTTAGCTCAGACGAATGGTTCCGACAGAAGACTTATGATAAAAATTCATGTGGAGTCAGTGATCTCATGACAGTTAATAGACATTATCATATCAATCTGGCAAGTTGGAACATTCATGAAGGCTTGTCTATAAGAATGAGAAATGGTTTTGTTGATAGTTATTACTAGATTATGATACTTAGATGAAGTACTATTAAATTCATAAGACTGAAAAAGTGATATCTGATGATCAGATCTGACCTGAACAAAGTGGAGTAAGAATTCAACATCTCTATATGATGGTAATATTGTATGTATGCCAATTATTAGGAACTTGTNTTGTATCAGTGGGGTTTTCAATATGCACCGTGGTTTGTGCACAGCGAGAGTATATAAGTAAGAAAATCGGAAGAATGCCAGGAAAATACTGTATGTCTATCGGCACAGGTACGCTCCGTATTTTGCCTTTTCTCAATATGTTTTTATATGACATGCTTTTTAAATAAAATATTTAATAGTAATTTGAAGTTACACTGATTTCCGTTTGAGTACCAGTTGATATTCTTTGATACGGGTGATTGAATTTTCTTCGGAAGTACGTACGTCTACGCCTCGACGCTGAGCAAGCCTTGCGGGTTGAAAACAACTGATCTCAGACTGGTAAAAAATTTCAATTCGGTTGATTTCAGTTGTCATATTAAAATTCAAATAGGGCGTACGTAGATCACATAGCTAGTTTAAGTCCACTAAAGCTACCGGTTTCAAATATAAGTGACCGGCCTTTGTTTACAACACCTGTCTCCGGGGAAATACTCGTCCCACTTGTGAAGCGCATCATGAAAGTGATTGTAGGTGAGGGAAATATATAATTAAAATTATAATTGTCGTCTTTTTTAATGTTAAGTAATGTTAGCACATATTGTACACAGCAAAATAAGATTTCAGGAGGATAAAACATGCCTGAAACACATGTTAGGCGAAAATTGCGGCTTATCTTGCGTAACACTTCCGGTAAAATGCAATACTTCCGGAAAGATGGACGTTTTGGCAGATGCCCCTAACAATCCGACGATATCAAAGGTTTCCATTTGCTGTATTTTAATCAATTCAACCAAACTGACTTTTCCATGAAATTAATTAATTAATCTTGGTCGAATTGTTTGGCATATTACCGTAGATGTAATGATGAAAATTACTAGCACAGATTGATTAGAAAATCAGAATATATCAGAAAATGTTGGCAGTTTTATTGTAGTCAGCAATTCAAGTTATATTCAAAAGCCATAATAGTCCATAGTATAAAAATGGTAATGTTCACTGTTTATTTCACTAAGGTATGGTCCGTTTATGGAAACCTTCCATTGCACATTAAAATTCCATTAACCTCAAGATTGCTGCAGCACATTCTGCTTGTAATCTGGGAATATTTTCACATCAGGGTACTAAAAATATTCCCAGGGGGTAGAACCACTGGCTACATGGTTAAAAGAAATATGCACTAGACCAAGATAGTATTGATTGCATTCAAGGCAGTGGATGCACCACAAGTGTCCAAGGGATGAATGTTTGACAACAATTATGAGGAATGGAGAAATGGTTAATATGCAGGGATTTAAGAAAAAATCAGTTTTAATCAGTCATTTGAAACCATGTACTGATTCAAAATTTAAAAAACAGAAGGAAGAAAATGATTGATATCAAATACCTGCTTCCTGAAGATTAAAAAAAAGTAATTTCATAATTTTATTTTGCTTTATTGCCAATATCCAGTCAAGCTCCTAATGCATCTCCAGTCTAGTGTAGATGCACTCATTGATGTTTCTGAGAGTTTCACTCCTTGGGGACAATGTATACATCATTGATGTGATGTGTATGAAACTAGAGTGAAATATATGAAACAAGCCACTCTCAGATCAACATTTCCCAATCAATAATGCAGCGTAGAAAGATGAAACACTAAAAACAGGGGGCCCAGTTCACATCGGGACCTAGTTCACATTGGGGCTTACTTAACTCAAATTGACTTACTGACATCACAAGACAACCAGATGGCTAACAATAACATTTCAGATTCTTATTCTCTCAATGGGGATCCTATGTTGTCTGTTTGTATGATGTAAATAAGCCTGTCACTATTTTGGTCCTGATGTGTAGACATCTTTCTGAAAATTTAGCTCAGACGAATGGTTCCGACAGAAGACTTATGATAAAAATTCATGTGGAGTCAGTGATCTCATGACAGTTAATAGACATTATCATATCAATCTGGCAAGTTGGAACATTCATGAAGGCTTGTCTATAAGAATGAGAAATGGTTTTGTTGATAGTTATTACTAGATTATGATACTTAGATGAAGTACTATTAAATTCATAAGACTGAAAAAGTGATATCTAATGATCAGATCTGACCTGAACAAAGTGGAGTAAGAATTCAACATCTCTATATGATGGTAATATTGTATGTATGCCAATTATTAGGAACTTGTTTATTTATTTATTTATTTATTTATTTATTTATTTATTTATTTATTTATTATTATTATTTTTTTTTATTTGCTGTATATCAGTATCATTTTTTTAAGAAATATATATGGAAATAATGATCACTATTCAGTTAGGAGAGAAACTCCAAGTACACCATGACAGATGGTAAGAACAAAAGCTCCAGAAGTGGTTGTAGAGTGGATACACACTCATCACCCATGTATAAAGTTAATGAGCTGTCATATAAGTCAGATGCACCACTGTTCAGCAAAATATTGGTCACATCCTCTCTACTTAACACTGTCACCACCTGCAACATATGCCTTGAACACCTCGACTGTCTGCAAGAGGTGTTCAAGGCATATATTGTGAGAGGGTGGCATTGTATTATTTGATATACATAACGAGAGAAAAGAACTCTCAAACGAAAAATGCCCCTTATTCCGAATGAAACATATACGGCCATGGACACATAAAATCATTAGGTATTTATATCAAATACTTGTGTATAATATACACCTTGCTGACTCTCGATGCATCTAATTACTTAGCATCTTCTCACTGGAGTTGATCCAATATTTGTCTCTCCCCCACAGACTGGTGACTCCATATTCCAAGCTGGACTTCAGGGTAATGAACAAGTGTACCATGAGAGCAGACACCCTCCTGGGCAATGCCACCTTAGACTTACACTCCCTCCTCACTAAACAGAATGGGAAATGTAAGTAGGCCTGTTGTGAATCACTAGCACACTCCTTATGCTTTCATGAATTGTACTGGAGTATTCATTTACAAGACTGTACTTGTTAATAATGGTCACATAAATAGAAAATATGAGCAGAACTTTATGAGGTCTATACATGTTAAGTGTTCATGTTAATACAAGATATGCAGTGTCGGAGTATGGTGAACATAAGCTTTTTTACAACTTTCACTTTGAACTTTCATTTAGAAGAGTTGGGGATTTGAATTGACGATTTTATTCCTTTTATGCTGGCCCTTGAAAACAAATTTATATTTTTATCCAAATAGGTTGATAAATAAACCTTTGAGACTTATCTGTGATAAATCAGTGAATAAGGTATGACTTTTGATTTGCATTTAACAAACAATATTTTTTTTCATGTATCTCCAGTTCGTAAATATAACCATAAAATTCAGTTGAAGAATGAAGCCAGGGGCACAGCACAGAATGCTGGTTACGTCTTTGTAACTTTGGATGGACTGAATATTAAAATGGAAGACTACCCACCCAAGGTAGCAAATGGTGTGACAAATGGTAAGATTATTAATATGTATTATTCAATTGATATCTTATTTTTTGGGGTTTGTTTTGTTTGATGGTACATTCTAAAAGAAATTGTTTCAGCCATTGTGTCAGATATCACACATTTTTTAAATTAAAAAAGAATACTGAGTAAAATTGATATTTGAAATAAATTAAGAAAAAAATTGAAGATATGAAATTATTTTCCAAGATCTATAGCACCTTTTCTTAGATGTTGTTGAAAATATGATCAAATGCATGGAAGAAGTATCTCTAAAGTTCAACTTGAAGAATATTTTCCTAGATTTTTATCTCAGGCTAAGTGAAATAGAACATAAGTTTATATCTAGTAGCCATAATGATACAAAATTCCACGGTGTTTCTTTGTGAAATAAGTCAGTACGTTTTGTCACAGGTCCCACGTCTAATGCAGCTGGGGAAAGTTCTAACAATTCAAGTAGCAGGAACAGCAGACAGACCACCACCTCCAACAACAGGACCTCCCAGAACAGGAGCTCCTCAAATGCCACGGGCACGTCATCATCTTCTTCTAGGACTAATGCCACTACCACTAACACAAGTATGTCTCCTCCTCCCTAGGCCTGTTTTCTGAAAAATACTTGAGTTGAAAATAAGTAACAGCAAAGACTGCATGGAATTTGAGTTGCATTTAAAATCAGATGTACAACATAATTACATATCTCCTAGAACATCAGTCCCTTTGACAATAATAATTTTAAGACAGTGGGACTTCATTGATTTTGTGTCTTGTGCACAATGTGGGCTTTGTGCTTTGGGGCAGGAGGTATTGGAATTAAAACATTTAACTTCCCCCTTTGAGAATTTATTGTTGCAATCACAGTCTGTCCATTGTACTGAGTCCACTGTGGGAAGAATTAATTGTATGAGGCTGACTTAAGACTTAAATAGCTGATGTATATGACTTCCCTCCACAGCCACCACTCCAAGTAGGAACAGTAGCAACAATGCACTCACAGAAAGTGGGGCGCCAGGAGGGTCTGGGACACCAGGGGGGTCTGGAGGGCCAGCCACAGCAACACCGCCAGCAGCACCAAATACCACTACACCATCAGCGGCAGGGTCTCGGACTCATCCACAACAGAACTTGCCAGGGGAGGAACCTTTACCTTCTGGGTAGGAAAATGGTGCAGCTTATTATTACTAGTGGTTTTAAGTAAGACAAATGTTTGTTTTATTTATTACTAATTGAAATTTGGCATGTAGATAACAGTGAAGTTTTTACTGTGCTGTTGAAATGAGAAAATCTGTGTTGATGTTTTCAGCTTTACATTTGGTTTTGAATTATCATAACAAAAGTGATTTTTTTGGAATGTCTGAGATCTATTTCTAGTCTTACAATGGCTGTCACCAGATGATTACCATGACAGTAAAAATTTCCAGAAATAGATGCAAAAAAAAAAACATTGTCTCCACTTGACGTCTAACAATCCTCATTAACTTATTCAAAAGAAGACAAAGCAATGATAGTGTGAATAGAACATGAATGATTTTCCATTTCCGTAGCTGGGAGAGAAGAATAGATGCTCAACAGCGGCCATACTATGTAGATCACAATACAAGGACAACCACATGGGAGAGACCCACCCCGCTGCCACCAGGGTAAGCTGGTCATTTGATAAGAATGTGGAGACAGCATTGTTCCCATAGTTACTAATCAATATTGTAATGAGTGATGTTATATAATTTCTCTTGAATCTTAAATAAATGCCTAAATCTGGACTGCAGAAAACATCCATGCTTAAGGTTCCAACTTAACTTGTCGGTGTTATAAGGATTGATGCTATTTCTCATAAGTGTCACTTAAAATTTCCATGTTCATACCTTTACATTATTTAAATGGTTGCTAAGATGCAAGAGTTTTGTGGAGTAACATTTTAAAATAACTTTTTTTTTCTATGTTTTATATTTGACATGTTTATGACTGCGAAGAATGTGACATGTCTCCTTTTCATTTCCTGTAGTTGGGAGAGAAGAGTTGACCCAAGAGGGCGTGTCTATTACGTTGATCACACAACGCGCACCACGACGTGGCAACGCCCCAATCAGGACATGGTGAGCAACATCAACTCCTGGCGCAACTGGCGCCAGAACCAGGCGGCACAGGCCTGGGATCAGATGCAGCACCGCTTCCTGGTCCCTCAAAACCCTGCTCTGAATCCAGAGAACGACCCCCTTGGACCACTGCCTGAGGGCTGGGGTAAGCAAACCTTTAAATTATTTTAAAAATTATAATCATTATTTATAGAAAACGTGATATATATAAAGATGAAGTATCTCTCCTCAAAATTCTTTTAAAGAAATAAAATTTATTCATGTTTACTTTAATGTACCTCTTTATGTTAAAATAAGGTGATGGAATTAACTTCTCCATTAGTGTATATGCCATCTTGGCTGTTTAGTGTTTTTTTGTTTTTTTTTTCCAATTTTAGTCATCAGACTGTGACATTTTATTCATATTAACATTGCAATTTAACTTTTTATAAGACATCAATTCAAAAGGTCTGCGATTTAAGCTGCCAGAAATTTCAACTGGATATTGATATCCATTCTGTTCTTGCTCTCCAGAAAAGCGTGTAGATGCCAATGGAAGGATGTATTTTGTCAACCACAAGAACAGAACAACTCAGTGGGAAGATCCAAGGACACAGGGGTAAGTTTCTTGGAATTTTGGAAAAAATGGCTTTAAAAGTTTTTGTTTGCTTTGATATGAGAGAAGAGTTTTATACATACTACAAGAATATTAATAAGAGGCCCAAAAAAGGAGAAAAAATTGAGCAGACAATATGTCACCAGATGATCAAGGTACTCAAGATTAAAGTTTATAGGATTTTAAATCCAGCATAGAGCCAAATAATCTTATTGACTCCTTTAGCATAGTCATTTAGATGCCATTTAGTCTTCTGATGGTTCAGTGTAGGATATGTCAGAATGTACCTAAAGGTGTGTTCAGACGCTGATCTGGAATGGGTGTAGGTCTTTATCTAAATATTTGCTGTTATTATGATAATAATTGTTTGTATATTCCAGTATAATTCAGGAAGACCCCTTACCTGAGGGCTGGGAAATGAGATATACACCTGAAGGTGTGCGCTACTTTGTTGATCATAACTCACGTTCTACAACATTCCAAGATCCTAGAGGGAAACCTGCAAAGGGGTAAGTCTGTCTAAACAGTCTTTACAAAAAACAAACAAAAAAAATATATTTGGCTTACTGGCCCGTTATACCACCAGGGTCTTAGAACCAGCTGGACTAAAGCACAAACTGCCCTAGCCTGTGACTGACCCAACTTGAAAATTTTATTGACCTGGCTTCAGTTTTACTGGTGTTTGGCCTGTGTTTGGTGGTTAACATAACAGACTATCAAATATGCATTGGAGTGTAATTGATATAGTTGATTAACCTAGTGTCACTTACGATTCATTATACGATTATCTTTCCCAGGCCCAAAGGAGCTTATGGTGTTCCCATTCAATATGAGAGAAGTTTCCGCTGGAAGCTTGGTCAGTTCAGATATCTCTGTCAGGTAAGTGGTAATCAGAGAATTGATTTACCTTTGTAATTTTCATCACTGTAACTGTTTTGTTAAGTAGAGGACTGGAATTAATCTGTCAAATAAACTAAAATTAAGAGAACAAATAAATTACAATGTTAATAAACAGACAAGAAGATAAATAACTTACTTTCTTCAAGGTTTGTTATCAGTACTTTCTTTAAGGTTTGTTATCAGTTTAAGTACCATTTTTGTAAAGTCCAAATAAAAGCAACTTTTGGGAAATTATTATTATTATTTTGTTTTGTTCTTGATTTTTTAATGCATATTTTGATAGTTTTACATTATACTGTTATTTTGGATCTTTAGGATACATCTCTAACATAATAATGATATTAATTTCACTGCAGGGTGCTGATTTTCATTCTAATTTAAATTTATTTTATGTAAATAGATTTCAGTTTTGCTAATTCCTTTCTGAATATCACTGTATGTATAAGATATATAAGATACTTGACTTATTATGAGTGCTCTTCAAAACTTCAGCACTCCTATCTAATTTACAGTGTTTATTTTTTTACAATTTTTGTTTGTTTATTTTATTTCTCTCCCATTATCCCCATCTTCAGTCTAACTCTCTGCCTGGACATGTTAAAATATCTCTGAGCAGAAATAGCCTCTTTGAAGAGTCCTTTTCTCAGGTAAAAGGGCGGTAACCATGGTATCTTCTATGGGTTGCTATGATACCAGCTTACCAATATGCCATGACTTTGCTTTCTGCATGGTGAAACCATATTGCTTATTTTTCTGCATATCATAATTGATCTAGCAGGGAGCTGAACAGAACAGATATAATCCAGGCACAATGAACCTTGCTGATATATGTATGGATTTTTGCATATGATTCATACTAATCCACTGCCATTTCTGCTGCTGTTTGGCTGTGATCCTACCACTGTTCAAGGTTTCACAGAAAAAAATTCAGACTAAAAGTTGGTCCAAATTTTATGACCACAAAGTTTTGATCTACTTTAGGATAAATGCATAGCAGTCCACTTAAATTGAGTAACTGAAACATTAGCTATTTTCTCTGTTGTCATTAAAGCAATGCATTTGGACCATTAAAGATTCGTCTTGTATCAAAGTAGAATAAAATTTTTGGTCTTACAGTTGGGACTAACTTTCCAGCTAAATTTCTTTTGTGAAACTGGGCAAAGAACATCATATCAGAAAGGTGGTGTATTATAATGATTGATAGCCATATAATCCATACTAATCAGTTGAAAGTTTATCTAATCCATCATACAATTATACTGATTGGTTCTTGTGTCCTCCTCCTCCTCAGTCCAATGCTTTGCCAGGACATGTGAAAATTAGCTTGAGTCGAGAAAACATGTTTGAGGAATCTTTTCAACAGGTAATGCATTTTAATAAAATAATTTATTTGATTCTCATTGATTCAAAGAATTGAAATGAAATGGTGTGCTTCAAATTTAAGCTTGGAAAGATCATCACTGCTTCATAATTTTGCTGCATATGTTTTCCTGTTTAGAATTTTTTTTTTTTTATAAATGAGAAATGAAAGTACTGGGGATTTTTCCAACTATGGGATGAATGTAACTTTGGATAGTTTCATAGATTTAAAAATGTTTCATAGATTTAAAAATGATGAAATTTGCATAGTAACTGATTGTGTGTAAGATGAAAGGATTGATTGCTGGGCAATGGCAGTGATTTGCAGAAGCTCGGGCTGTTATAAGCATGGCAAAATACTGCAAGTTTTTTTCATTGAATTCAGAAACTGTTAAATGAATGTATTTTTTTACATGTATATTTGAAAAATGAAATAATGATGTTGAAGATATTGCTTTTCAAAGCTTAGTATTATTCAGTACTTTCTAAAGCTTCAGTGATATTTAGTTTTGTGTGAAAGTTAGATAAAAACATTTTCAATCTTTTATACTAAGAGGTCAACAAAAGTTTTTAAAAAAATAAGGATAAATTGACAAATATATATTGAAAATAATCAATAAGCACCTGCCATCTTCATATATAAATCCAAGCAAAGGTTTTTCGCAGAAGAAAAATGGCCTTGGAGACAGAATAGCCATTTATTTTTTTCCATTATCCTTTGTTAGATCATGCGTCTGCAGCCCTTTGATCTTCGCCGGAGGCTGTATATAATATTCCGTGGAGAGGAGGGTCTGGACTATGGAGGTTTAGCAAGGTACGTCACAACCAAGCACCATGAATTAATCATCTGTAGGTCATTCAAACATGATGGTTATGAATGGTTCAAAAAAAAAAAGAAAGAAAGAAAAAACAAGTGATCTTTTCTCATTAAAAAAATCAGTTGTTTTAACTTTGTATGTCCAATTATCATGTTTTTAAATGAAATTTTATGTTATCAATTTTCTGCTGGATAGCACTTTCATTTTGTTTCAGCAGTCTTTATAGTGTTTATTAATAACATCTTGGAAAGTTGAAATTAAAGAACTTAAAGAATGACATTTTTGCAGGGAGTGGTTCTTTCACTTGTCCCATGAAGTGCTCAACCCCATGTATTGCCTGTTTGAGTATGCCAACAGCAATAACTACTCCCTACAGATCAATGCAGCTTCTTCCGTCAACCCAGACCATCTAATGTACTTCAGGTTCATTGGCCGGGTGATAGCAATGGTAAGTAGGCTTGTCTTGTCTACAGCAATCTTCAGTCAGCAGTCGAACAGGTTGTGTCGTCTGCAGCCCCATGTAGATAAGGCTATATGTCTGCTTTTCATGTTTTTGATAAGCAACTTCTTATTTTTATATCAAACTTTTTGTATGCTCTCTTAGCTTCAGCACTCCAACTACTAAATTGACAAGAGTTTTTATTCTAATTATAATACGTTTTTCAAATTTCTCAATATGAAACTTCTTGTTTTCTTTTTACATAATTAAGTTACTCAGAGCATTTTAGAACAGNCCCCTTTTGAGAATTTATTGTTGCAATCACAGTCTGTCCATTGTACTGAGTCCACTGTGGGAAGAATTAATTGTATGAGGCTGACTTAAGACTTACATAGCTGATGTATATGACTTCCCTCCACAGCCACCACTCCAAGTAGGAACAGTAGCAGCAATGCACTCACAGAAAGTGGGGCGCCAGGAGGGTCTGGGACACCAGGGGGGTCTGGAGGGCCAGCCACAGCGACACCGCCAGCAGCACCAAACACCACTACACCATCAGCGGCAGGGTCTCGGACTCATCCACAACAGAACTTGCCAGGGGAGGAACCTTTACCTTCTGGGTAGGAAAATGCTGCAGCTTATTATTACTAGTGGTTTTAAGTAAGACAAATGTTTGTTTTATTTATTACTAATTGAAATTTGGCATGCAGATAACAGTGAAGTTTTTACTGTGCTGTTGAAATGAGAAAATCTGTGTTGATGTTTTCAGCTTTACATTTGGTTTTGAATTATCATAACAAAAGTGATTTTTTTGGAATGTCTGAGATCTATTTCTAGTCTTACAATGGCTGTCACCAGATGATTACCATGACAGTAAAAATTTCCAGAAATAGATGCAAAAAAAAACATTGTCTCCACTTGACGTCTAACAATCCTCATTAACTTATTCAAAAGAAGACAAAGCAATGATAGTGTGAATAGAACATGAATGATTTTCCATTTCCGTAGCTGGGAGAGAAGAATAGATGCTCAACAGCGGCCATACTATGTAGATCACAATACAAGGACGACCACATGGGAGAGACCCACCCCGCTGCCACCAGGGTAAGCTGGTCGTTTGATAAAAATGTGGAGACAGCATTGTTGCCATAGTTACTAATCAATATTGTAATGAGTGATGTTATATAATTTCTCTTGTATCTTAAATAAATGCCTAAATCTGGACTGCAGAAAACATCCATGCTTAAGGTTCAAACTTAACATGTCGGTGTTATAAGGATTGATGCTATTTCTCATAAGTGTGACTTAAAATCTCCATGTTCATACTTTTACATTATTTAAATGGTTGCTAAGATGCAAGAGTTTTGTGGAGTAACATTTTAAAATAACTTTTTTATCTTTGTTTTATATTTGACATGTTTATGACTGAGAAGAATGTGACATGTCTCCTTTTCATTTCCTGTAGTTGGGAGAGAAGAGTTGACCCAAGAGGGCGTGTCTATTACGTTGATCACACAACGCGCACTACGACGTGGCAACGGCCCAATCAGGACATGGTGAGCAACATCAACTCCTGGCGCAACTGGCGCCAGAACCAGGCAGCGCAGGCCTGGGATCAAATGCAGCACCGCTTCCTGGTCCCTCAAAACCCTGCTCTGAATCCAGAGAACGACCCCCTTGGACCACTGCCTGAGGGCTGGGGTTAGTGAACCTTTAATTTATTTTAACTTATTAAAAATTATAATTATTATTTATAGAAAACTTGATATATAAAGATGAAGTATTACTCCTCAAAATTCTTTTAAAGAAATAAAATTTATTCATGTTTACTTTAATGTACCTCTTTATGTTAAAATAAAGTGATGGAATTAACTTCTCCATTAGTGTATATGCCATCTTGGCTGTCTAGTGTTTTTTTTTCCAATCTTAGTCATCAGACTGTGACCTTTTATTCATATTAACATTGCAATTTAAATTTTTATAAGACATCAATTCAAAAGGTCTGCTATTTAAGCTGCCAGAAATTTCAACTGGATATTGATATCCATTCTGTTCTTGCTCTTCAGAGAAGCGTGTAGATGCCAATGGAAGGATGTACTTTGTGAACCACAAGAACAGAACAACTCAGTGGGAAGATCCAAGGACACAGGGGTAAGTTTCTTGGAATTTTGGAAAAAATGGCTTAAATGTTTTTGTTTGCTTTGATATGAGAGAAGAGTTTTATACAAACTACAAGAATATTTATAAGAGGCCAAAAGAGGAGAAAAATTGAGACAACATATGTCACCAGATAATCTAGGTACTCGAGAGGTAAGTTTATAGGATTTTAATTCCAGCATAAAGCCGAATAATCTTATTAGCATGGTCATTTAGATACCATTTAGACTTCTGATGGTCCAATTCAAGATATTCCTGAATGTACCTTGTTGTAAGGTATGTTCAAATGCTGATCTGGAATGGGTGTAGGTCTATGTCTGATGTTTGCTGTTATTGTAATTGTTTGTATGTTTCAGTATAATTCAGGAAGATCCTTTACCTGAGGGCTGGGAAATGAGATATACACCTGAAGGTGTGCGCTACTTTGTTGATCATAACTCACGTTCTACAACATTCCAAGATCCTAGAGGGAAACCTGCAAAGGGGTAAGTCTGTCTAAACAGTCTTTACAAAAAAAAAACAAAAAAATATATTTGGCTTACTGGCCCGTTATACCACCAGGGTCTTAGAACCAGCTGGACTAAAGCACAAACAGTGCCCTGTGACTGACCCAACTTGAAAATTTTACTGACCTGGCTTCAATTTTACTGGTGTTTGGCCTGTGTTTGGTGGTTAACATAACAGACTATCAAATATGCATTGGAGTGTAATTGATATAGTTGATTAACCTAGTGTCACTTACGATTCATTATACGATTATCTTTCCCAGGCCCAAAGGAGCTTATGGTGTTCCCATTCAATATGAGAGAAGTTTCCGCTGGAAGCTTGGTCAGTTCAGATATCTCTGTCAGGTAAGTGGTAATCAGAGAACAAAATTATAAAGATTTGAAATGATTTACCTTTGTAATTTTCATCACTGTAACTGTTTTGTTAACTAGAGGACGACAATTAATCTGTCAAATAAACTAAAATTAAGAGAACAAATAAATTACAATATTAATAAACAGACAAGAAGATAAATAACTCACTTTCTTCATGGTTTGTTATCAGTTCAAGTACCATTTTTGTAAAGTCCAAATAATGGCAACTTTTAGGAAATTATTGTTATTTTGTTTTGTTTTGTTCTTGGTTTTTTAATGCATATTTTGATAGTTTTACATTATAATGTTATTTTGGATCTTTGGGATACATCTCTAACATAATAATGATATTAATTTCAATGTAAGTTGCTGGTTTTCATTCTAACTTAAATTTATTTATGTAGATATATTTCAGTTTTGCTAATTCCTTTCTGAATATCACTGTATGTATAAGATATATAAGATACTTGACTTATTATGAGTACTCTTCAAAACTTCAGCACTCCTATCTAATTTACAGTGTTTATTTTTTACAATTTTTGTTTGTTTATTTTATTTCTCTCCCATTATCCCCATCTTCAGTCTAACTCTCTGCCTGGACATGTTAAAATATCTCTGAGCAGAAATAGCCTCTTTGAAGAGTCCTTTTCTCAGGTAAAAGGGTGGTAACCATGGTATCTTCTATGGGTTGCTATGATACCAGCTTACCAGTATGCCATGACTTTGCTTTCTGCATGGTGAAACCATATTGCTTATTTTTCTGCATATCATAATTGATCCAGCAGGGAGCTGAACAGAACAGATATAATCCAGGCACAATGAACCTTGCTGATATATGTATGGATTTTTGCATATGATTCATACTAATCCACTGAGAAATGTTTGAATCCACTGCCATTTCTGCTGCTGTTTGGCTGTGATCCTACCACCGTTCAAGGTTTCACAGAAAAAAATTCAGATTAAAAGTTGGTCCAAATTTTATGACCACAAAGTTTTGATCTACTTTAGGATAAATGCATAGCAGTCCACTTAAATTGAGTAACTGAAACATTAGCTATTTTCTCTGTTGTCATTAAAGCAATGCATTTGGACCATTATAGATTCGTCTTGTATCAAAGTAGAATGAAATATTTTTGGTCTTACAGTTGGGACTAACTTTCCAGCTAAATTTCTTTTGTGAAACTGGGCAAAGAACATCATATCAGAAAGGTGGTGTATTATAATAATTGATAGCCATATAATCCATACTAATCAGTTGAAAGTTTATCTAATCCATCATACAATTATACTGATTGGTTCTTGTGTCCTCCTCCTCCTCAGTCCAATGCTTTGCCAGGACATGTGAAAATTAGCTTGAGTCGAGAGAACATGTTTGAGGAATCTTTTCAACAGGTAATGCATTTTAATAAATAATTTATTTGATTCTCATTGATTCAAAGAATTGAAATGAAATGGTGTGCTTCAAATTTAAGCTTGGAAAGATCATAACTGCTTCATAATTTTGCTGCATATGTTTTCCTGTTTAGAATTTTTTTATGAATGAGAAATGAAAGTACTGGGGATTTTTCCAACTATGGGATGAATGTAACTTTGTATAGTTTCATAGATTTAAAAATGTTTCATAGATTTAAAAATGATGAAATCTGCATAGTAACTGATTGTGTGTAAGATGAAAGGATGGATTGCGGGGCAATGGCAGTGATTTGCAGAAGCTCGAGCTGTTACAAGCATGGCATAATAATGCGAGTTTTTTTCATTGAATTCAGAAACTGTTATATGAATGTTTTTTTTATATGTATATTTTAAAATGAAATAATGATGTTGAAGATATTGCTTTTCAAAGCTTAGTATTATTCAGTACTTTCTAAAGCTTCAGTGATATTTAGTTTTGTGTGAAAGTTAGATAAAAACATTTTCAATCTTTTATACTAAGAGATCAACAAAAGTTTAAAAAAAAAACGAGGATAAATTGACAAATATATATTGAAAATAATCAATAAGCACCTGCCATCTTCATATATAAATCCAAGCAAAGGTTTTTCGCAGAAGAAAAATGGCCTTGGAGACAGAATAGCCATTTATGTTTTCCATTATCCTTTGTTAGATCATGCGTCTGCAGCCCTTTGATCTTCGCCGGAGGCTGTATATAATATTCCGTGGAGAGGAGGGCCTGGACTATGGAGGTTTAGCGAGGTATGTCACAACTGAACACCAGGAATTAATCATCTGTAGGTCATTCAAACATGATGGTTATGAATTCTTCGGAAAAAAAAGAAAAAAACAAGTGATCTTTTCTAATTAAAAAAAATTAGTTGTTTTAACTTTGTATGTCCAGTTATCATGTTTTTGAATGAAATTTTATGTTATCAATTTTCTGCTGGATAGCACTTTCATTTTGTTTCAGCAGTCTTTATAGTGTTTATTAATAACATCTTGGAAAGTTTAAATTAAAGAACTTAAAGAATGACATTTTTGCAGGGAGTGGTTCTTTCACTTGTCCCATGAAGTGCTCAACCCCATGTATTGCCTGTTTGAGTATGCCAACAGCAATAACTACTCCCTACAGATCAATGCAGCTTCTTCCGTCAACCCAGACCATCTAATGTACTTCAGGTTCATTGGCCGGGTGATAGCAATGGTAAGTAGGCCTGTCTTCTTGTCTACAGCACCATCTTCAGTCAGCAATCGAACAGGCTGTGTCGTCTGCAGCCCCATGTAGGTGAGGCTATGTCTGCTTTTCATGTTTTTGATAAGCAACTTCTTATTTTTATATCAAACTTTTTGTATGCTCTCTTAGCTTCAGCACTCCAACTACTAAATTGACAAGAGTTTTTATTCTAATTATGATACGTTTTTCAAATTTCTCAATATGAAACTTCTTGTTTTCTTTTTATGTACAGACACAGATNTTACTGTTTACCACTGATAATGAAGAAACAGAGGATCAAGTCTGTAAAAAAACGCAAATAGAACGAGCACATGTGCTGCGGCCATTTTGTCGTGTAGGGGTATTACGAAACGAAAACGAGTCTGTACATTACATCATCCAGGAATCCCCCAACCTTGTGAGTGAAACTGAGGTTAATAAATTATGTATAATTAGCTGGGAATTCCACGAGATTTTCACCCCGTCTCTCTTTTCGAATGAAGTAAAATATATCGTTCGGAAAAGAAACAACAACATATTCCTTATATTTACACATTCCCAGTCAGTTTGAAAACTCGCCGGACATAAGGTCCGACGATACGTGATTTTTTATCGGACCGAGACGAAATTTGCCAGGCATGTCCGACGGTCCGACGCCTTTCGTAAAGTCTGTTAGAAGTGTTAATTTTGCAGTATTAAGATTTCCAGTGTATTTATCTTTTTCTCTGAAGTATGTTTTAGTCAGTTACATAAATATCTTCTGTACTGTTACTGTTACAGTAATAAAGATTGTGGACACAGTAGTAGGCAACTGGCTCCAAATATGACCTAAAACGCTTACTTATTTATCATCATTTCAGGCTTTATATCATGGTAAATTCATCGACAGCGGGTTCACACTTCCATTCTACAAGAAGATGTTAAACAAAAAGCTCACCATGACGGACCTGGAGTCTATAGATCCAGAGTTCTTCAATTCTTTAGTATGGATCAAGTGAGTATTACATTAAGAATTGTGGTATAAGTGTGTCTGCAGAAAATACCACTAAATGTGGTCCAAGAAAAAATCAATATAATGGAGCATTATTAGCTGACAACAGTAAGATTCTTAAGACTCTTGTGTGACTTTTTTTTTTTTTTTTACTTCATGGAAATTCTCTTTTCTATACATTTTCAAGCCTTGATACTGAAAATGATGAGCAACAAAAATTATAATAGATAGGTACTACATTCATGCTTTACACATTTTCAGATATGCTGTCTGGAAGTCTCTTGTCTGTTAACTATACTTGGATTTTTAATGTCATTTGCTGAATCAAATAGATTTGATTGTGTTGCTCTGAAAAGCACATAATTGCAAGTGTGATGTGAAAGACTAAGATGCTCAATAAGAAGAAAAATATCAATTGAAATAAAGGAATAAAATTTACTGGATGAGAAATTTGAGACAAGACTTGCATTAAGCTTGTATATATTGCGGTATCTTATCTAAAAGTGAGTGTTATCAGGATTGGTCTTTACTACATCTTGTATTGCATTAGATATTAAGTGAGTTTGCCTGGTACGTTGACTAGTATTAAATTATCCAATTTACTTTTCACTTTTTTTTCAGGGAAAACAACATAGAAGAATGTNTTGTTACATAATAAAGTTACTCAGAGCATTTCAGAAGTGTTAATTTTGCAGTATTAAGATTTCCAGTGTATTTATCTTTTTCTCTGAAGTATGTTTTAGTCAGTTACATAAATATCTTCTGTACTGTTACTGTTGCAGTAATAAAGATTGTGGACACAATAGTAGGCAACTGGCTCCAAATATGACCTAAAACGCTTACTTATTTATCATCATTTCAGGCTTTATATCATGGTAAATTCATCGACAGCGGGTTCACACTTCCATTCTACAAGAAGATGTTAAACAAAAAGCTCACCATGACGGACCTGGAGTCTATAGATCCAGAGTTCTTCAATTCTTTAGTATGGATCAAGTGAGTATTACATTAAGAATTGTGGTATAAGTGTGTCTGCAGAAAATACCACTAAATGTGGCCCAAGAAAAAAAATCAATATAATGGTGCATTATTAGCTGACAACAGTAAGTTTCTTAAGACTCTTGTGTGACTTTTTTTTAAACTTCATGGAAATTCTCTATTCTATACATTTTCAAGCCTTGATACTGAAAAAGATGAGCAACAAAAATTATAATAGATAAGTACTACATTCATGCTTTACACATTTTCAGATGTGCTGTCTGGAAGTCTCTTGTCTGTTAACTATACTTGGATTGTTAATGTCATTTGCTGCATCAAATAGATTTGATTGCGTTGCTCTGAAAAGCACATAATTTCAAGCTTGATGTGAAAAACTAAGATGCTCAATAAGAAGAAAAATATCAATTGAAATAAAGGAATAAAATTTACTGGATGAGAAATTTGAGACAAGACTTGCATTAAGCTTGTATATATTGTGGTATCTTATCTAAAAGTGAGTGTTATCAGGATTGGTCTTTACTACATCTTGTATTGCATTAGATATTAAGTGAGTTTGCCTGGTATGTTGACTAGTATTAAATTATCCAATTTACTTTTCACTTTTTTTCAGGGAAAACAACATAGAAGAATGTGGTCTTGAGATGTTCTTCAGTGCAGACTTTGAGACCCTGGGTAAAATAGAACATGTGGAGTTGAAAGAGAATGGAGACAAGGTAGAAGTGACAGAAGCTAATAAGGATGAGTACATAGAGTAAGTGGAGTCTTTTATTTACAAAATGCATATGTGGCTTTCTTTGTCTACGTGACTTGTGCAATTGAATAGCTATTGCAGTTATTACTTAGACGGTGTTTTTATAAGTTGTTCTATTCAGACTGGCAGTGGGTAGCGGTTTCATGTTTGAATCAGTTCAATAGATTAATTTTGCTGAAAAACATACTGTTTGCAACAAAGATGTAAGAAATAATTTTGTTACAAATTTTTACTGAAGAGAAGAATGTATTTCAACAGCAATGGTTAGACTATGCAGTGATAAAAATAATTTCTAACCTCAAGGGTGAAAAACCCAAATCCTTAAGAGAAAATTACTGAGCATTTTTGAAATACAATGTGTACTGACTGATGTCTGCCTGTTTACTCTCAGGTTGATGACTAACTGGCGCTTTACCCGAGGCGTGGAAGAGCAGACTAAAGCCTTCCTTGATGGATTCAATGAAGTAGTCCCTCTACAGTGGCTACAGTACTTTGATGAGAGGGAGTTGGAGGTATGTCCAACATATATTTGACTTGTCCCAAAATCTTGTGGTTTGAGACTTTAAGTGTATTGTTTGATAAATATTTGTATATATTTATATTGATATAGCACTGAAAATGAATATGTGTTTTGTCCTATGTCTCTGTTTTCCCCTAAATGCTGTATGGAATGCGGCAGTCGATAAATAACCTCATTAATGCTTGTGGGTTTTTCTCTACAGTTCTCTTGTTAATGCAGTGTGGAATGCAGGAAGTCTGTATATAAATTATCAAGATTGTCATGTGTTTTTGTACATCCCTATTCTCCAGTTAATGCTGTGTGGAATGCAGGAGGTTGACATTGATGACTGGGAGAAGAATACAATCTACAGGCACTACACCAGGAGCAGCAAACAGGTGGTCTGGTTCTGGAAGGTGAGGACAATTTCCTTCACACACACCCCCCCCCCCTCTCAAAAAAAAAAATAAATAAATAAATAAGAAAGAAAGAAATATACTTCCCAGGTGTTGAGTAAATAAGGGCATTGAATACTGATGAAAGTGTTCAATGCTGTGAAAGATTTAAAATCTTTGAATATTCAACAATTTTCTTTTCTTTCTCATTGTGTTGATGTAGTGTAAATATGAATAAAAGAAAGTTTGGTAAAATTAGAAGTCACTATGGTCCACTCCACTAACTACAGCTTCAACATGCACACAAACAAAACCAATCCTCCAAACTTTTATTTATCTTAACATTATACCTAAATAGAATTTCAAAATTATATTTTCAGTTATCTTTGTGTAGGTTGCCAATGTTATATGCTTCCAAAATGATAATTTTCTTTTTTTTTATGTCACAGTTTGTGCGTGAGATTGACAATGAGAAGAGAACACGTTTGCTACAGTTTGTGACGGGGACCTGTCGCCTCCCAGTGGGAGGTTTCTCAGAACTCATGGGTAAGTACAAGTGAAAGGAATTCAACACCCTCCAAACTGTTCAGTTAGTCATAACTTATAGTGTCAGAGAATTTAATAAAGATACTTCTCTTTGCTTGGTATTTTGTTAATTTTATTGATTAATTTCATTTCATTGAAATTCGGTAAATGTTAAAATGCATTTGAAACCATCAGTCATGTTTTATGCTGAATAAAACATCACATCTATTGCTCAAATTTTCCCTCAAAGCAGCCAACCATTGTGTACCAGATTTCATTTGTTTGCTGTGTGAACTTTCAGGGAGCAATGGGCCCCAGAGATTCTGTATAGAGAAGGTGGGCAAGGAGACCTGGCTGCCCAGGAGTCACACATGTTTCAACAGGCTGGACCTTCCTCCATACAAAAGTTATGAGCAACTAGTGGAAAAACTGACTTTTGCTATTGAAGAAACTGAAGGGTTTGGGCAGGAGTAGATATCCCATGTCTAGCAGCAAGAGTCTACATATATATATATATATATATGATCATTGATAACAGGGGAAAAAGAGTCTTCATAACCAATGATAGTTGCACAAGGAGACTTTTCTTCATACGGAGATAATATATAGATATCCAGGAGATGCATATTTAATTTCATTGAGAGAAATTTTCAAAGCACAGCATGGAGCTCAGTAACAGTGAGTGAAGACTGTGAGCTACTTGGGTGCATATGATTCTGTGTATATGGACATTTCTTATGCCAGAATGCACAAATAATTCAGTATAACAGTAAGGCTGGTTTGATCTATAACTTAATTGAACATTGTTTGTACTTTTTGCTCCCAGTAAGCGAAATGTATAACACATCACAGTTTAACCACAATAACATTGTAGATGGACGTACACAATTTCGGTCCATGTGGTAAATTTTCATTTGAATATAATTTAGTTTGTATATTGACAGGCTTTTTATCTAATTCAGGCCGAGTTCAGTTTGTTTGATAACCAAGTGCTTACACATCTGCACATTACTTCACTCTGGAATGTGTTTATTTGCTTTGTACATAGTTTGTTATCTATAGACTTTTATATATTGAGGAAACTGAAAGTTCTTATAAATCAATTAAGGTACTCGTGATAGTTACCATGGTCATGATTGGTCAACTTTTGTGCCTTTGTATTGGGTTTTACCAATGAGACCGATGCTGTCATATTAGACGGTGATGGGAGAAACACCTTGGAAAAAAGTAAAAGGAAACATGCAATACCATCTTTAATTTCCTAATTAATATAAATAATGCTCATTTTTGCTAACTGGCATTTAGTATCTGGCTAAACAATCATTTCCTTTTGATTATATTAAATCTTGACTACATTAATGCAGACAGGTTCTGTGTTTGTGTTAAGACAGATGGTGTTATTGTTATAAATTTATTAAACAATAGGTGGCACCACTGGGGTGGCAAGATAGACTGCCGTGATAACTGAAAATAAGATAACGGATTTGGAGAATCATACCTATATAAAGTGTGACTCCCATTTTACATGATTATATATACACTGAAATTATCAAGGTTGTGGCTAATGAATGTAATGCTCATGACCCCATTATTACTAGCACACCCTTTGTCCGTTACACATCCCTGTTCATGGCATTGTACAAAATTACTCCAACATTTTTTTCTCAATACCCTATTCCAGTCAGCTATCACATACAGTAACACTTAAACTGATAGTTTTGAGCCAAATGATAAAGAGGGGATTGGGAATTGCACAATAAAAAGTCTGGACTGCTCTATGAACTATTTTCAGGGCAGCCTATTTGATCTTTCATAACTGAAAGAAGGTATTTGTTAACAATGGAATAGAAAAAGTTTCAAAAGTTGCATCACATGTTCTGCAGGTTTAAGATATATGTAAAGAAAACCTGACAAGTTTTGTTCATGATCAAGAAGTTGATAATTTGCAGTATTTAACAAAATATAATGAACACAGTTTGTCATGATATTTTAACCTTATATCTATCTATGAATATATATTTATGGTTATTCTGATGAAGAGCATCAGATGTGCCATTTTTGCATGCATGCTAGTATGTACTAATTGTTCACTGTGCAAGACGTTGCTTCTTGTGTTATGAGTGGTCCTGAAAAGGGCATGTTCATTCAGTGTTTTAAGGGAGCACCTTACCATGCTATCAGCAAGTAAACCCTGGTATGGGTGTGTAAATTCAGTGTTATGTACCAATGTATCTGTTGAGAAAACTGCTGTGATACTTAGTAAAAATATAATACATATGTATGCTGTTGGAATAAACAAGAACTTGATTAAATCGACATTTGGGGATTTGTTCTAATTTTTTTATATCAAATAAGGATTCAAACATCTTATACCCCTTCAGTGAACTGAACTTGCCACACCTACCACCTCTCGAATGGAATGCACCTACCCCACCTGTCACCCCTCAAGTGGAATGGACTTGTCACCTGACATCCCTCACAAGTAATGGATCTATCCCACCTGACACCCCCAATTGGAATGATCCAGGGGAAAGAAAATGGGGCATTTTTTCATGGACATCTAAAAATGTCTAACTATAGTCTTGTGTACACACATAATACTATTTAGGAATAGGTCGAAGGGCGATATTTATTAAATTTTAATGGAAATGATGCAGATTCAGAATTTACCCCGATATTTATCTCCACATTTCATGACATATAACACTGCATCTTTCACACTGTTATCTCAATGTGCTGTATTAATAATTTATAATTTATGTGTTAAAAGCAATTTTTAAAAATTACTTTAAAAAGCAAAAATGCCATTCAAATCGAGTAGATTATGGGTTCTGATAAATCTAGTACATATTAATACTACCACCCCACCCTTAAAAGAACTTAATTCCCATAAATTGGCCATCATTTACAAAGGTCAGACAATGATGATTGAATGATGAAAATAAAATTGACTTATTAAACAATCTTACTCGAGTCTCAACTTACAATATTCTGAAAATTTGCTCTAATACCATCTAAAATCTGGATGTGCCAGCTCTTCACTTTGAAAATTACACGGGGCATTTAAAACACTTCAATAATTACTTTTAATAATAAAATGAAATTGGAGAGAATCTGTATAGGTGTATAGGATCAGATGAATCCAAACCTGTCCACAGGTATAATTTGAAAACAATCAATGCATCGGTTATAATTTGAGTACAATAATTATCGATTTTAGTACACAATTTCTATAGGTTTAAAATATTTTGAAAATCTCAGGAACATGCACAATTTTCGCCATATTGCGCTGCATGTGTGAGGGCTTGTGCATGTGAGCATGCACTGGCATGCGTGCATGTCCGTGTCCAGACACGACCAGGGCTCTATAACTTGAAAGCATCGTGAATTGCTACTGAACTAGATGCACCATTCTTTCATTTATAACAATTACTTTAAAGACAAGATGAGAACTCTTCTTCATTCAATTAAGTATAGATAAGAAATTACATAGGGAATTTGTTTATTACCACATTGTTTGTCATAAGTATACATGCACATTTTACAGCCTGTCTTATATGGAGTATTTTAGTCTGTTATATTAAAAGAAAAAAAATCAATATTTGGACAACTTCTTGAAATTTTTTATTTTGATTTACGTCTTTTTCTCTTAGCATATTAGGCCAATCCTTTGTGCAAATGTTTACCTTAATTCTCTGTTAGAATGGTTCCTGAAAGTAACATGAATCCAACCTTGTGCAAAACTCTTAACAATTTAGTTCATAACAGACATTAAACTCATCAATACATTTTAGTGTAAACAACCTGTAATAACTAAGTATTATGTCAATAAAAGAAAAGCAACACAGTAATTGCACTGAAACAATGTTTTATCTGTTTATACCAAACAGCCCTTAAACAAAGATTTAACTTAAACCCTTTAACACCCTTTAACATTCCCATCTAATTTCTGCCTCAGACAGAACAGTTTACACCATATAAGCTGTTTGGTACCCTGATAGCAGGGGTTAGTTTCCGGTAAACATTGAACCTCAGGGGGCTCTCTGACAGCACTGTCTTACTTCAGAGAAGTTTCCAATTAGTAAAACCACAAGAAAACCAAGTACTGTAATAGAGACTCCAACCCTGGATTATGCAAGGGTTGTCAACACCTCTCAGACCACGTTTAATGACATAGAACTAACCTTGGACACTTTGCACAGATCGATGATACTACATGTACCAGTATTATCAGTTGTGACCAATTGAGAACTGGGAGAGTGAGGCTGAACCTCTCAGCAGTTGGCGTAAAAAAAGTAATGGTCTAAAATTTTATATATATATTCCTTGCCAGGGACAGTTTTATTAACTATCTGGCAATGTTTTCCTAATAATCCATGATTAAAGTCAAATCAATAATATTTATATAAAACCAGCAACAAAGGAAATCCATAGTCAAAAATTATTTTAATACTGACAAGTGAGTAGAGTTGGTGATTCTGTTTTGGTATATAACTAGGCATAAGTACTTGTATAAATATACATTAAAAGTGAGACATGTCTTTTGTTCTAATCAAAAGTTAACAGCTTTATCATTTAAATTATATGACTTTTCTGAATATGTTCTTATACAAGTATATTCTTACATTTTTTAAAATTAAAATTTGATAAACAAGATACTATCTCTCTGATCACTTTTCCTCTTTCCCATCCAATTTTAACTGTATAATTTATTAAAAACCTTTAACAATTAACTTCTACACCAGTAGTACATATAATATCTAACAATTATAACATCAAAATAAAGTTAATTTGCTGTCATCACCATCTTCATGAGATCCTCAACTTAAAAACATTATTCCCAATGACTACTATTTCTAACCATTTTTCAGCAATCATGTGGTAGTTTTTATATAGGGTTTGAAAGAACACAAAAAAATGTAAGTTACGTATGCTAATGGGTATATTAATCTTGGGTGTTTTCAAGTTGAAAGCAGAACATTCTGGAAATAATGGTTGCAGCACAACCTTTAAGTTAATTGGGGTTGAATTTCCTTCAACCTCTGAAACTCGGGAGTAAGAACAATATATACATATCAAGAATGAATTGTATTATAACCACCACACAATTAATGTCACCCTTCTTTTCACTTTCGGTGAGATTTGATGAAGTTGATGAGACCATTGGTAGAAGAGTCGTGACTGCTGACTGGCTCGGCCCCCTTCAGTTCTGGTTGGATGACATTGGCCAGTGCCTTGCCCAGCTCAACTCTGGAAATGCATATAAAATAAAATAAATAATGTATATTTATTATCAATTAATCATATCTATTAACACAAAACAACAGTTGTGATTTTTACAGTAACAGAGATAACCATATGTGAAGGGTTACTAGTGATACCCACACAAAGACAAGTAATGCTTCTGAATGATTGCTATTAGTCACTGTGTTATCTTATTGCAATGTTTTCATAACTTCATCATTGTGTAAGGTGCCCCACTGTTTATGTGGAATGTGCAATAAAAAGTTTATCATCATTTTTATTATTATCATTATTCCACCACTTACCCCCACTGGTCATAGGAGTTGATGTCCCATATCACTCCCTGGACAAATATCTTGTGTTCATACATGGCTGCAAATAACACATCAAAATAACATATTTAATACTACATTATTATTATCAAAGGTGCATCTCTTGATTCATGCAAGTCACACACATTTTGAAGTAAAAGACATTTCAAATTCTATTAAATAAATTTATTCAATACATAGCACATATCAGACCATATGACATCACAAAAATGACTCTGAAATGAAATGCAACCTGTCAGTAAAGCTGTAATTGCTATCAGTTGTATTTGTAATTATGACTCGAGGTGCCAGAAAGGAAAAAAGTTTTAAATAAGAATCAATAAATGAGAGAGAGAGAGAGAACAGACTGAGTACATTTTACCTATTATAGTTCCCAGCATTAGAGGTGATAACTTCTGGAAGACAATGGAGTTTGTGGGTCTATTTCCCTCAAACACTTTATGGGGTAAAATATGCTTGATCTTTGCCTCATCCATGCCTGCCTTCCTGAGTTCTGCTTCTGCTACATCTTTAGACTTTCCCAGCATCAGGGCTTCTGTCTGGGCCAGGAAGTTGGCCTGCAGAATCTGAAATAAATAAATAAATGAATAAATAAATCATAGCAAAATAGATTTTAAGTATAATGAGCTTCTGTTCAGATACATTCTATCCTCTTCATTTGCAAGTCTCCATATACTCGCTCTTATACATGTAGGACTCAGACAGTTAGTGGCTTTTGATTCAGGTTAACCATGATAATCACAAAGTCTCATTTCATCATTAAAACTCCCTGTCTCCAGAAAAGGGTATCTGGCACAATTAATAGGTCCTTACTGGCAATGTCCTTGAAAAATTGTGATTGCTACAGTAAAATTGAATGAAACACCACTGAACGTCCAACTTCAATGAACAGTTGGTGAGATTGCATTGAAAGGTTTTGATTGCACTTGATGAGATTGTGCTGCATGGCTGTGATTGCATTTAGTGAGATTGAGCTGTAAGGCAGTGATTGCATTTAGTGAGATTGAGCTGCAAGGCTGTGATTGCATTAAGTGAGATTGAGCTGCAAGGCTGTGATTGCATTTAATGAGATTGAGCTGCATGGCTGTGATTACACTTGGGGAGACTTTGCTGCATGGTTGTGACTGCACTTGGTGAGACTGTCCTATGCTTGTGACTGCACCTGGTGAGACTGTTCTGTATTTACCTGGTGGTGTAGTCCATCCTGGATGGGGTTCTGAGTCTCTACAGGGATCAGGAAATCACAGGGAACAAGACGGGTACCTGATAAAGCAAAATATCCCAAAATTAATACTTTTCCTCAACTGAAAAATACATCTTGTTTTTGGTAAATTTTCTTTCATCGTGTAATTATGGTGCCTTAATTTGATGACTGTAACATCCATTAAAATACAGAAAAGGATATTCCTGTATTTTATGGAAACAAAATCCACTTATTTTCCCGAATGAAGGCTGAAGTTCCAGGATCATAATTTTGACCTATTTCTCACTTTCAACACCTTCCATAAACAACTATTGTAGATCCTAAGAAAAACAATCACTGTGTGGTATGGACATGAGCTGCAAATGTCTGACCAAACGAAATGTCTTGATTTCCCCCTCATTTGAGAAGCTTTTCTAAAATTTCGTGACTTTTCCCTGAACAGAAAAATGGGAAATCCTTTTCCAGGTTTTCCCTACTCCCAGATAGGCTGGGAACCCCGACAGAAGCAATAATTATATCCCACAAAACACCCATCCAGAAGCACACAGACTTGCCCACTAACCCTGATGAATCAGCTGATAAAATGCATGTTGTCCATTGGTTCCAGGTTCTCCCCACACAATAGGACCAGTGCTATAGTTCACACGTGCTCCGCTGCGTGTGACATACTTCCCATTGGACTCCATGTCACCTTGTTGGAAGTAAGCAGCAAAGCGATGCATGTACTGAAACATGATATAAATACTACAGATACCTTATGCTTATAATTCACAAACTTCAGAATTCAAAGCTCAGAAACATCATGCTAATGAGCTTACCAAAGAAAGTAAGAAAGGCCTCTCACTTTAGTTACCTTGTATGAAATTCACTGGTTTTACAAATTATATAAAAAGAATTTTTTTAAATTCTTTCCATCCCGAATTCCCTAAAAGGAAATAAACTCTTGAAACTATAATCATAATAAGTATAGAACACAGAGCACATGTATTTTTTCATATCTTAAACACTAATTTTTAAATCTATTACTATTTCCCCAGGCAACGCTATCTTTACTTGCCCTTACAGAGTTCCTTTTTCTACACATCAAACTTACTTGATCATATGGCAGCAGTGCATGAGTCTCAGCACCAAAGAAATTGTGATACCAGACACCCAGCAAAGCTAAAATCACAGGAATCTGAAATATGAAGACATTATGTGAACATTCATATAACATTATCACAGAGGATGCACCTCCAACAGGCAATAGTGAGCGTGTGTGTGTGTGTGTGTGTGAGAGAATGCGCCCACGTGTGTATATGTGTGTGTTTGTCTAACTGCAACTATCTCATACAACAACTTGTTCATTCTGCAAACTTTCAGTGGAGTTGTCTCCTCTTCTACACAATCATTCACTCCCTCACAGTGGACCTGCCTCAGCAAAAAGAACATATGTCTCCATCTACCCCAGTGTACTTACATTCTGCTCCAGTGGAGCTGACTGGAAGTGTTGATCCATCAGGAAAGCACCAGTGAGAAGCTGCTCAAAATTATCCATGCCTGGGAAAACAAAAATTCTTATACTTTCTTTTCTTACAGTGTACAACATTTGAAAAAAAAATTCATGTCAATCTTTTTCATTAATTCTACCTTATCTTTCAAAACATTAACATCTTTTCAAATTGAAATCTTTACAATATTTCTTTTAATTGAAAATCAAAATTTTCTTTAATCACTTAAATACAGGCATTTAACAAAAAAAAAAAAAAGAAAAAAAAATCAACCCCTACAGTATATTTTCTCATATAACCATACAAAATCACATTTTACAATATCTTACCTATGTGCACAGCAATTGACAACCCTATGGCCGACCAAAGAGAGTAGCGTCCTCCAACCCACTAAACATTTAAAATATATCTAAATGTTATCAATTATTATCTAAAATATGAAATAAAATGACAGATGTATGCAGAGTAAGGAATTAAAGTCACAATATAATTCAAAATACTGTTACATCAAAATCAACATACCAAATAATTATCTTTCCATTTTTTTACCTTTTCATTGGAAAAAACAACATACAACATTACAAACTAAACTTACATCCCAGAATGCAAACATGTTCTTCTCATCTATTCCAAATGCTTTAACTTTTGCCTGCAATGAATAAATTATACCACTAATTCAATGTAGCAAAGAAAATTCAACTATCAAGATGTACCACATGCATATAATCAAATTAAGAGACACTTTAATGATGAAGTTGCTACTCTTGTATAATGACATATATGATCAAGTTCAACTGTTAGTCTTTTATTAAAGTAACTCTTAATTTTTTTTATTAACACTTGTATAATGCATATGTTTTTTCATATAATTATTCAAGAAGTTGGTTATGATCCTGTACTGAGATCTCCAGTGTTTAATTAGAGAGGCCAATTGGAGCACATTTCTTTATGTTGCATACAACATCCCCAGTAAGAAAAACACCATGTGCCTAGCTAGCACGTGAATCTACTGGCAACTGTAGTAGATCTCACCGTGAGTATCATATCTTACTAGAAACTAATCACCACTGTTACTGTGACAGACTTGGCCACAACTCTTGGTCAGAGTGAACAGACAAAACAGTCAACAGGTAAATCAAATGCTGCATGGATCTATCATATATGAAAACTTTCTGTCTATCAAACTGAGATCCAATAAAACTATTTTCACATTAAATAGTGATGATAATCTTTTAACTCACATTATTTGTTGACAGAGCCACAAAGTGTTTTGCAACAGCAGCAGGCTGAAATATAAAAAATCATTATTAATACATTACTTGTCAACACCACTCTGCATAATTGAAACACAACAGTGCATCTTTTACTTTAAATCAACTCAATTTCATGTCAAAAACTTGACATACAATTCTATTGTTGACTAAACCCCTATTACTAAAAGGAAATAACTATGCAAAACCAACTTTGTTATCTTAATAGAATACAATATTTTCATTAGCGTGACAAACTTTTCTTTCATCAAAATTAATGTTATAATAAAAAGTTTTTGGGCAATAAAAAGTTTTTGGGCAATAAAAAGCTTCAAGTCAATTTATCTTTAAACTTAAAGTAGACATAAACTTAAGTCTTCAAGTCACATTTTACTTCAATCCTGTAGTAAAACAAGTCATGAACACTAACATCATTGGCTTGCTGTAGAAACCACTGCTTGGCAGAGTTGGCATTGGTGATGGTTTCCAAAGTGGTGAAAGTCTGGAAATTAAGTTATGAGCCATAATACATGAAACTTTCAAATTTCTTTTATGTCATATAATACATTTTTCATCAAGGTTAAAGTAAATCACTCTATCATGGTAAAATATCAAACTTCATCAAATGTTGGGTTCTTCAGTAGTTAAACAATATTCTCAAATGGCTGATGTTAGTTCTCCCCAAACCTGCTGAACTGTGCTGTAGCTTACAAATTCTGTAAATTTTTAATTTTGTACCTTTTTTAAAGAAGTTCAACAAAAAGTTCACTACCTTAGAGGCAATAATGAACAGTGTGGTCTCTGGATTCAGTTGTTTCACTGTCTTGGCCAGATGGGTACCATCAATATTGGAGATAAAATGGACGTTGGGACCACCCACTGAATATGGCTTCAGTGCCTCTGTCACCATCAATGGACCCTATCGAAAACAATGATAATTCAACAAGGAGTTCAACAACCAATCTAGGATCAGTTTAGTATGACATTATATATTAAATGATGTATTATATGTGTCATTAAGAGAAAAAATAACAGTTGATATGAGACAAGGGATTGTGACACCCAGTGGTGCCGTAAGTTCTGGTTCAGACTGACACAAATACAGCATGTAAATCAGTGTGTTTAGTGTGACACATTTAATGAGTATTTTATGTGTATAGTAGTGCTAAGTGTAAAGTAGAATGTGTTAGGTGAGAAAAAGAAAATGCTAATCTGGCTAGAATATAAAATGCATTAGGAAGGGCACAAAATGTGTTAGGTGTGAAGTACCAGTTCAATTCCATTTACAGGAATATGTTAAAGCTGTCTCTGCTGTCATATTTGTTGTGAGAGACCAGGTCAGATTGACCAATATGTAACAAGTGTCTTACCAGATCAGACCCTCCAATGCCAATATTGACCACATCGGTCATCTTCTTCCCAGTGTAGCCAGTCCACTGACCACTACGGACAGCCTCTGTGAACTGTCTCATCTGTGCCAGCACAGCATTCACATCTGGCATCACCTGTGGCAAACAGGAAAGCTTATTAATATAAAGTTATTTTTTCTCATTCAGTCCAACTTAAACTGTGAGTATACTGGCAGTGTTCTCATTTACTTCAGTAAGGGCTGGTTTTACCAAAAGATCTTGAGACTGAAAGCCAGTCTTAACTTTAAATTCAAATACTTTCCTGTAACTACTACAATACTGACCCTCTGGTAGTCATCAAACTGGAAAAAACTATCCTTCTCTTAGGAGGATGGTTTGCTTGTCAGTAATTTTCAAAGATTCCGATTCAGATGCCAAAATGAACGTATTTTGTGTAGAAATGCAATATTTTCTCCTTCTCTGAATATAAGAGTCCCCTTATCATAACACTACACAAGAACAAAATGACATCCTAATTTCCAAAGCATAGAATGCACAAACCAACTCACATCTTTGCCGTCCACCATAATAGGTTTATTCCCTCTGTTTCTAAGAGCAATGTGCAATACAGCTCTGTTCTCTGTGAAGTTGATTCGTTCTCCACTAAACATGGCATCCCTCATAGCCTCCACATCACGCTCTTTTGCCTAGAAAAAAATCACAATATCTCCTAATATAAATGGGGCTTGGTGAATTTCACTACTGATAGTAAAAATGAATTTATAACTGGAGGATAAGTTATAGATCATCAATTTTTAACAGAATATGATGTACGTTGACGATTCAGGAAGGGGAATTGGTGAAATTTCAAGGAAACGATTTCTATTCATTATTATTATTATTATTATAACAATTTTAATTTTAATTATTTTACTTAGTTCATTATTACTATATATATATTTATAATTTTTTCAGTCTTTATCAATTTACTATTTGAAATCCCACATGTCAGTATGGGAAACAACAACTAAAATCTTTACTGTGTTTATAACAAAAGACAGAACATGCTGGATGACAACATCATACTAGTAAAATAGTATTTGTTTAAAGGTGTTCTCAAAGGTCAACTTGACAAAAGTGCTTCAAATTCACACAGGTGTTCTCATCAGTCTTACATATTCAACAAGGATTTAGATTTGTACATGATAGTGCTATCTTAGCTATCTGAATTATGATATAATCAGGTTCATTTCACACACCACATCTTTCTTTCACTGATGTCATTTCATCAATACAATTGAGGTTATTACACGCCAGGTTAGATTGTTCAGTAAGGACACAAAATTGGCAGCAAATTATTTGTGCAAATTGAGGGAATGGTTTTAAAGGCACCATTTTGTACGTGCTCTGTAATTCACTGGTTTCATATCCTTGGCTATCATACTAAGTTTGAATATTTGTGCAGGGTTTGTTGTGGATAAAAAAAGGCACAACAAAGCATGTGATCATGCCACATGCTGATAAAATGGACAAAAAGACAAAATAATTGGGTTGAGCAACTGAGTGCCAAAATTTATCTTTAAAACACATATGTATACTATAATTAAATGGGTCATTAATTGTTTCCATGGATCTTAAGTTTAGCTTGAAAACACAGTATATACAAATGTCTTTACTTTAAGACAAAATTTTGATCCATATACATACAATTGTCTTAATTTGTCTTTCAATGTATTGCTAAAACACAATATGTGTATACTCTGACCTTTAAAGGACCATAATTGAAACTTTTACTGGTATATACTGTTCTGAGAAACAAATTACAAAAGAAATCAAAATCTGTGTGGCACTGTCTAGATCATTTCCTGTCAAGACTACCTTTTCTTAACCTTTCCACAACATGATGCACACACAAGGCAGACAACACCTGATATTACACAGATGCATGGAACTGACGCAGAGCAAATTTTAAAAGAGAAATAAGAGAGAGAGAGAGAGAGAGAGAGAGAGAGACTCACCAGTTGCATCAGGAGTTTCATGACATCTTGGTTAATGAGATTCTTGGAGAAGTCCACCAACAAGTCTCCATCTGGTGTCTGGAGAGTGGCACTGGGTAGGAAAGAATTGTTTTTTTTTTAATTATTAAAGTTTAAATTTAAATTCATACATCATCAACATTTCTCATCTCCAGCTGGTAAATTTATACATTATAATATATATTATTCTTAATCTCCCTGCATGTCTGTCTGTCTGTCTGTCTGACTACCTATCCCTCTGTTTATTGTATAAACTTTATTATTTATTGATTTATATGAGTATATAAAGGATATTTTACTAGTATTGTATTCTATTGAGTACTACAAAATATCTTTTAGTTATCTATTTACAGGCCCGTAGCCAGCAATTTCAAAGGGGGGGGGGGGGGGTTCTTTTTCTGAAAAAGTGGACCTTTTACCATATAATCCCCATGTACCTAGGTCAAATTTTACACAGAGTGGACCTTTTTCCAGCGAAAAGGGGGGTTCTTTTAAACTCCCGAACCCCCCCTGGCTACGGGCCTGATTTATCCTAGCTGCCATCCAGGGGCAAGTTATAGAAAAGGAAAAATATATTTCCATGATCTAAGACATTTATCTCCCAAGCTATACCAATGTAATTTTCACTCTAAAAACAAAACTACAGATCAGTGCACCACTATGCAGTCTACGTTGTTTGAACCATAATGCAGCCAACATAAACAGATCTGATAACAAAAATCTAAAAAGAATAAGTCATCTGAAGAATGACATCTCACCTGGGGAAAAATCAATTTCAGCCATATGATAATGGATGTCTAAAAAGAATTACTGACTACTACATAGCGCATCAGTGACATAAAGGGGTCCTCCACAGATGAGACCAGCCAAGCACTGAGCTGTAGTCACCCAATTTGCTGCTAGAATGGTACTTAAATGCATGATTACCATCATGTAGGCGAGTGTGGAGGTGTATATTTTTTCAAAAAATGGAATGGCTTGTGTACCTGTCAAAATCTGTCAAAAAAAGGAGTTCACATATGTATACCATGGGTACAAACAAGGCTCAAAAAGTCTAAAACAGACCTCACCCACACCTACCCCTTTTCATTCCTTACAGAAAACCAAGGAAGAGGCATGGAAATGATATCATTTTATGAATTTGGGTATCAATTTAAAAATTTTGAATGACAACTGAATTCAGAAGTTTGTTTTTTTGAAAACATAAAAGCTTAGGCAAATATTTCTCAAGTTTCCTGTTTCTCTCTTTTTTTTTTTTTCTTTTCTTTTTTTTAGTAAAAAATTGCAAACATGTTGGAACGCTGACCACAAGTCAATTTCAATTTTTTTTAAATATGGTCACACGCACTGAATGTCTCTAAAAATGCCAATCAATCAAGAAATATCTGGCATTTTTACCTGACATGTTTACAATAAAATCCACACTTTTCCTGAAAGTTCAGGTCAAAGTTAAATGAAACCGTGAAAGAAAACAAAAACTGAAAGTAGAACCAACATTTGTTTAAGCACATACACAGACCAGAGCAACCCAAGAAGAACTGGACAACCTTGGGACAGGTAACATTTGTTTTTTCTGTATCAGTTCACCTGGTCTAGTAGACTGTATTTCCATTATAAAAAGAATCAGGTTTCTTTCCTGATAGTTCACTGTTCAAGGTCTATCCAGAGTACATATTTTTTGTTTGTTTGTTTAATCTACGTCACATATGAAACGAAACATAAGGCAGGAAGATCCGACACATTGCCACAAAGTAGAAGAAAGGCACTGGGGTTGGTTTAGCCTATGGAATGACAGGTGAGTGTAGAAGGCTGTCAGCTACCTAAAAGGCATAAAATGCTAGCAGACCTTTTTGTATTAAAAATAATTTCTTGAAACTTTTGACACTTTTCTCTTTATCAAAAAAGTTTAACAAATCTAAAACTGTTCACAGGATTATGGTAAATAAATCCATTGATGATAAAAAGAAAAATTCCAGGAAAATTCGTTTTAAACTATAAAATATACTTTATGAAATTTACTTATATAAAATTTTAATTCAGCAATTTAAGCAATTAAAAAAAAAAAAAAAAAAAAAAAAAGGAAAGAAGAAAAGGATTCAAGACAAAATTTCAAGAACTGTCTCTCGTTATTAATACTCAGTACACACTGGAATATTGCTACAAAACTTATAACTATGCTAACATAAGTCATAAAAAAAAAAAAGAGAATAAAGATGCACATACTGGCATCCGTCTTCACTGTAAATTGTAATAAACTAAAGCAGTCGACAGTCAGACTTAAATTCAAGAAAAAAATACGATGACAACTCACCTGTAGGTTTTAAACCTTGAGGAATCTCCCTTGAACATCTCTGCCATGTTAATTTTCGAGCCATGCTGGTTGTAGTAATCCTGCAAAGCCTTCCAACTCTGCTCCAAGGTCAAACTCTGCCGGCTGACATTCGCCATAGTCAATGGATCTCTCTAGGTCAGCTTAATCTCTAACCTTCAGTATTAGAGCGAGGATATTTTTGTGACCATAAAAAATTACTTATTTACTAATAAATTATTTTGAATGTCAAATATCGCCTATTTATCTTTTGAAAGAAGCATATTTTTATGTTTATTTGTAATCAATTGAATCAAAACACATATTTCTGGAATCGAGAGTACTGCGAGTACACTTCCGGTTGTTTGCTGAGCACGCACATGAGATGGTAAGTTTACATTTTATAAATATTTGCTTAAAACTTATAAATCTCATTTGTGCTTTGGGTTTGTTTGTTTTGCGTTCATTCTTTACTATGCAATACAAAGATACATGTGAATGACGACAAATTTGAGAAATAAAATCCTAATCAAACGCAAAAAAATAGGTGGGGATAACATCGAAGTTTCTGGCTACTGCATTCATTGCAGACAGCATTTCACTTACACTGCTTAAATAAATAGTTGAAATATATTAATGAAATGGTGCCACCCTATAGTTTGTCAAAGTTTTTAACGTGTTTCATTTGATGTAAAGGGATGCTTGTCTTTGTTTATGCCAAACTTTACAGAGATACTGGATAATTCTGTGTGTTTCTAGTTCTCGTCAAAATTCCCAGAGTCGGGGTCTGAGTCATTGTTTAGGTCAGTCAGTGGGCGTGGGCGCAGCAACTGGAACAGTGGCAGCAATTCTTCCTCTTAGTGCATAGTAAATATTTGCAACCGTATGTTTTATCCTCTGATTATACTTTAATGCAGCTTCCAAAACTAATAAAAAATTAATAGATACTTTGGCTATCAGGTAGGTTGGACCAACCTTTGGTCCAAAGTGAATATATATAGGCAGTTTGGCACATTGATGATATCCCACAGGCGTGTAATTTTCATACATTTTTGTCACACTAAAGCTTATCTCTGATTGATGTAAGTGCTCCTTGTCTCTCTTCACATCTTTTTTAAGTTATAATTATTGGTTAATCTTAGCCTTAATTTCAGATATAAATATTTGTGACCAAGGGACATGCTGATTTATGGGTTTGCTGTAACATAAGTTTGCTGATGCCAATCAATAAACAAAGGAATATATATCTTGCAAATAAGTGCAATTAATGATTAAACAGGGGAAATTATGTCATTATTTGAAAATGATATATAATTAACATACCATATAAGCACAAGCTGTTCTAAACAAACTAAAATTCAGGGCAGATCAGGATGAAAAGAGAAAAAAAAAAGAGTAACCCATAGCTGTAACAGCTGATTTACAGACATATTGAATATTTAATAGCTTTTAACTCATACACAATGTTAGACCCCATTCTGATAGACACATCGCACTAGTTTGGTTGGTCCAACTTTGCAGGGGATTTTTGCTAAGTGCAATCAGTGAAATCATGTTAAATGCACACCTCCTCAATCATGGGGAATAATTAAGGCAAGTACACACAAAAGTTTATTACCCCCTAGCTGCTCAAAGAGGCATGTCGTTCAGTTAAACTAATTGCAACTAGTAGTGAGTCTATGGGTGCTTTCCCAGAGCTTTAGATCGATATAAGGATTAAGTTTTAGATCGACCTAACTCCCTGGGGGTTCACGCTAAATTGCAGTCAGCCTAGCGGGCACCATAGTTAATTACCCCCTTACAGGTTTTAGTAGGCGGGACAGACGCTTAAGCCGGCCAAGCTGACAGTAATCTAGTGAGACTCCCCACAGGGATAGATCGATCTAAAAATCTATGGAAATGGGGTGTATCTGAATGTTCCCTTAAAAGCAATTTCTAGCCATGTTTTTTTTTTTTTTTTTTTGTCAGACAATTTCTAAAAAATCTCTGCTGGAGTCTAAATTTTATAATCTGCTTGATGACACCTCTAGCATGCACCTTGTATATAGAGACTGGTCCATTTGTTTGCAAACTGAAAAGAAGTTTGAAACAATTTTTGCAATGCTTTGAACTGGAAATTATGACTACAGTTATAATGCACGTGTAATTCTGTTCTGAGGCTGATGTCTTATGTCACAAGCATTTTTGCAGGCTTCAGGATTGTGATTCACTATGTAAACTGGTCTTTAATGTTACATTTACATGTGAAAAATCATTTGAAAGTCAAATGGATTTTTTCCATGTGCCATTGTCAAATAAAACTTGAAATTTAAGAAAAATTACAAAGTGCATAGAGTACAGATAAAAGTTCATTCAAGCTATATGTAAACTTCATACCAAACAATATAAAATAATGTAAAAAAAATACTAGAATTGAGAAATATGATGGAATTGAAATGATTTTTCCTAGAAAGGCCAGAAAACTTTGAGGACCTCTAAATGTTCTAAATTCTATGTGTATACAGTTTACTACCAGTACCAGGTATATTTGCTTTATGAGGACACTCATATTGATATGGGAGGATTGTTTGTTAAGTTGATGATAAAACGGTCCACCACACATTAACAAACACAAGATTAAAACATCTTTAGAACAGGGGCATAGGTGTGTGAGCATCTTGCCATTGAATTAATAATATGATGCATCATGTGCTTGTTTTTCAGACTGTCCTTACAAAGGAGCCTTCTAATATTTATTTGGCTCTAAGGCATGTGGCGGATTGATTTGTGTGCTTAGCTTATAAAGAAATTACTAGTATTTTTAGTAATTTTATTATTTATCATTTAATTAATAATATGCAACCTATTAATTATTATTATTATTATTATTATTATTATTTAAAGTCTTCACAGTTTTCTCTAAAAGTATCATTATTTTCATTAATTTTTTTTAAGGAAGGAAAGGTTACTAGTATGTGTCTTTTGACAGAAATTATGGTCAGTTTTCTATTTATGGTGTTAAGGGTCTAGAAATCAGTAATAGTAGGCTGTGCTCACTAAGATATGAATACAGTGCATATTTTTCTTAATGCAGCACAAGATTAACCATTCTTGTTTATATTTATTGCAAGGTTTATTTTTCGCTTTGCTTCACACTTGCTACCACATTTTCATCCACTATTTGAAAAAAAGGAACAAACATACATACAGACAGCCGCACCCTATACTTTTATCAGTATCATCCCTCTTTCAAAAGCTGTGATTTAGAAGGCCTACTGGGACTCTGCTGATTATGGTCAACATGGTCGAATTGCAGCAGTCGTTGTTGTTGTTGTTGTTGTTGTGTGTGTGTGTGTGTGTGTGTG